CGAGGGGACGTAGAAAATGGCGGAAAAGTGGTAGTCATGTGTTACATATCAGCTTAGGTTGATTTTAAATATGTCCTTGTGAGGAATAAAGTTAAACCTCAAACATAAGCGTTTTTGTGAATGGCGATATTTAAATGAGGACAGGGCTAAACTCTACAGCTGACCCAGTGTCTTTCTGAAGGCATACTAGTCTTGTAACTTGTATCTGTGGGACCAGGCTGGCCATGGTATTTCTCGCGCGTGCATGGACCAATTGCTCACTCTTTTCTTCTTACATCGCTCATTTCAGGCTCGAATGCGAAGCCAAAATGCCGGCCTAGGGTTAAAAGGAAGCAGTTATGGCGCCTCTTCGTCTGACAGCTACAAAGACAAGCTCAAAAAGCTGGTATGTATAAATAGTGTATTTATTCACAATTTTTATGTTTGTTCTTTTAAGTTATAACTTGAAAAAAGATCTTCCGAATATGGAAAACCGTTTTCGGATAAAGTGCCTTGGTAGCTTTTCACTGAGTTTTACCAAAAAGTTGTAGGTGGGGGTTCAGAGCTACATAAATTATCGAAGATTTAAGGGGTGGCTCCGAAAGTTCACTGACGATTTTATATCAGCTTTAAATCATTACTCATGGAATTGCAAAAGCCGATTACGACCGGTATTGTAGCTGAAAAACAGACTTAAGCTAAAGCAAAGTTTGTTACTCTTCATGACAACAGCTACATAAAATAAATCATATGTATGTATATAAATGAAAGTTAAGTAAATGTTTGTGCGATTGTGACGATCACGTCTACCTATTCTTTTCTTTATGTTGTTCTTTACAGGCGAGGTCACGATTTCAGGATGCGTAGCAACTTGATGAAAAGCCTGGACGGAATTTGTACATAAATTGATCTCTATTTCCCCGCTCCTTTTATATGCTTAAAATTCTGACAGTCCAGAAAACCCGCCTTGTCACAGGGTATCGAGTATCATGCACGTGAGGCAAAGAAACGAAATTTCTTTGCTTATCCTTTCTGTGTCTGTCACAAAACCAAAGGATGCCGTCTTTTAAAAGTTTTGTAGCAGATGAAAATTACGTTCTATGGAAGTGCTGGTCGTATGTTGTGTCTAAAATGTTTCAAAGCTCGTACAGAGGGTCAGTCTTAAAGACTTCTTACAGCTCACGACAGTGTCGTGAGTAATTTGCCAAGTATTACTCTTAGAGTTCTCCGTTCCAAGCTTACGTTTGTTGATCTTAGGCGAACGTTTTGGGCAAATAAAAGTTTTTAAATAAACAATGATTATGGTTGCAGTTGCCTTTTTATCTGAAGATTAAACTTGAAATGCTTATGAGGCGTGGCTGCTAGCACATGGATAACATGGCTGTGCGCATGCGTAAGGTACGGCTACGTACTCGCCTTTTCGCCGCATTAGGTGAACTACCTAACGGGGACTACTGCTTTCTAGTGTTTTGTATTTGGTGAGTAATCTGTGAGCCCTCGAAAGAATGAACGCGAAAACACATTCTAAGTGAAAATGAGCGACTGCTCTAAGTTAGAGTGGATGAAATCGATGGATAAGGTTAATAACAGACAAACTAATAGCTACACGTACAGTACAACCTCTCCTGCCTTTGGGACACCTCTGTTCAGGGGACACCTCTATTCAGGGGACACCTCTGTTCAGGGACACAAAATCTGGTCCCAGAAAAATGTTGACATAATCTTTGTATTTGCTACCTCTATTCAGGGGAAAGGGATACTTTTTCTGGGTCCTGGGGACCCCTTAGCGTTAAAAAAGTGACTGAACACAAAAATTGATGATAAGTTTAAATGCACACTAGTCACAAGACCTGTATCACTTAATTCAATGTACAGCACTTTTGGGAATTCAACACAAAACCTTGCAGAGATAAGTTAATCATGATTTTTTAAACATTATCTAGCTGCTTGAAATAATGACTGCAAGCAACCTCAACCTCAACCTTCATTCGGGGACACCTCTATTCAGGGGACGCTTACCTTGGTCCCGAGGGTGTCCCTAGAATAGAGGCTCCACTTTTGGTCATTGATCGCCGGTATCCATCAATTTAGGGACATCTGCAAGTAACACTGAGGGGCGGCGGACCGCGAGCCACTTATCACAATTATCACACGATACGATCGGGTGATAGTGCTCAGTAAAGGCAATATATCAACGCCGATACAGACAGTAGGCCCGCCCATTCAATTAACTGACGCAACTTGCGGTATGGCATTAATATACTCTTTCCTGTTCAAGATACCTCAAATTATTTCCTTTGTGTCTTTAGTTACTTCTCTGGAATTTCCTTTATATGCAATACTAAAAGGAACATTGCTGATTACAATTCGTCGTCCAACCAAATCAGTATATGCCTTGAAAGCAATACCGTCATTATTAAAAAAAATAACGGCGGATATACATATGGACTGTTTTTCATAACTCATTATTTCATTTGCAAAAAACTAAGACGGGAGAAATAACTTGAACGCCGGGATTTACTGAGACCCGGTCACTAACTGTGTATTAATCTATAACCCGCTTCAGTGTCAGGTCAGTTTTAACTGAGTTGTTGACAAAATCCGTGTATTACCTACATATGCTTCATTGAATTAAAATCGACTGGAAACCTGCAAAAATCCAGACAATGAAAAAACTAAATATTTTTCCGTCATACTAATTCTTTATATTGGAGATGTTTTTCGCAGAGCAAATATTTCTGAATGGCGCGTCCTTTTAACAGATAATTTGAAATTTCATTTGCATCTCTGAAACCTTAACTTGAATTAGTAATGGCAGAAAAAAAAAAACAACCCGGTTGTAGTACAATGTCTTAAGCAAAATCGAAATCATACAAGAATTTTATTGTTTGGTGCATATTCAGTCAAGTTCAACGTCAACTTATTCCGGTGAAACTTCAGAGAAGGGAGACTTCATTGAACCTAATGTTGGGAATGCAGCAGTTTTATTCACAAGATCAAGACGTTTTCTATACAAATCAAATGGAAAAGCTAATACAATCGCAAAAGAACAAAATGCTGTTCAACTCTAAAATATGACGACCACATAGCAGCTGTATATTGGTTCAAAAGGGTTTATTTTGAACTCAGTCTCTGACGTCATTCTTCATTGCCCACGCATCCTGGCTCAACTTATTGCGGTGGGGGTATTTTTTTTCGTATTAAATAAAAACAATCAAAACATAAGCAGGTGAAATTGAAAGTGAAAGCTCTGACTAACAATGAGAATATGAAATATAATAAATTTACCATTCATGGCCAATGTGGGAATTGCAACAATGTATTTGAAACGGCCGCGTTGTTACTGGTTCCAATATTGCCTCGCATCAGGATCAAATGAATTCTAATAAGTATTTGGAGTAAAAACAAGGTTTTTGCTGAAGTACTCTTCCGACTTTACTGGTAAATAAAATATCGTTCCTCGGAAAAGACCAATTGTTTCAGTTCAGATAGATTTGTGTGCTCACATTGTAATTTATTCTGTGTTATTGGTCCCCAAATGGTGATATAAATCTCATCGAACAAGCTCTGTACAAATCCGTGATGACCTTGTGTTGTCTGCTAAACGAAGTTCATCTTACTATTAGGCGTTATGGGTCGTTATGATCACCCTAATATCGCGATTTCTATCTCTGTAATCAAGTTAATTACTCCTTTGTTAAAATTTAAAAACTTCAACATTCTTAGCGTTTGGACGATTGTGTGAAAATTAAGTTACTTAATTACTCAGTTTTTTTAAGTGTTTAATTATTATATATACCGTAGCCACAATGTCGGATGCTGTCAATGAGTACATTTCTTTGATCAACACCACGTATTGTGTTAACGAGACATGAAAGACCAACTGCCTCCAAAACCAGTGACTTGCGAAAAGCTCTCTCCTTAGTTAACAAAAAAATAAGTTAAACACTGACATTAAAAGATTGGAGGTGTTACTTATGGGAGGGATTTTCCTGGAATTGATCTCCCTAAATGCAAAATGTTCTGGCCGTTTTTGTGAAATCAAGGCGAATCTATACACCGGAGGGTCATGAATTACAAAGGTTGAGGAGCGTTTGGCTTTGAATTATTCTTGGAGAAAAAAAATGAAGACAAGTTGAAGAACAAACTGACAAAATCTCGCGGCAACAACCATTCATCAGTTCTACATGGTCACAGCATCTTTTTGCCCTCGTATCCGATCCTTCGCTGATTATGTTTTCCTTCCGTGAAAGGAATTTGTTTATTTGAGAGGACCACAGGCGGTACGTTTGATAGATGTGTCTCTAATTATGTGAAGTTCTTTGTAAAATCTCATTTGTGTCATTTGTCTATTATTATTACTTGCCGGAAAACGCTGCTTACAGCCCTTCACAACGCTCTTGTTTTCGCAGTATTGAAAGGCAGTTAAAAGTGTACAGAGAAGCATCAATACGCGGAAAATTCGAGTGCTTCATAAGTCAAACATAGTTAGCAACGTTTATCTGCCTGATCTTCCGCGCGTGCTCCGCGATTGGGTTGCGTGTGAAGTCGATACGCAGATGTTTGCACAAGCAATGAAATTACCATCTGGGAATTCAATTGGCTCTTTTAGCAAGTCTTGTTTCATTTCAAATTGATAGTCTGTCAATCAAGCCCAATGGAGGCTGAAATCTGAGACTCTTGGATGAATCAGAGCGAACTACAGCAAATTTTATTTGAGTAATATCCCGCGGCTCAACGCCTTGTTATTTCACCGACATTTCATGACAGTCAGCCAATCACATTGCGCGCTATTGTTGTCCTGACGTTCGTGGGTGGTCAGTTTCATGTCGTGAAATTGGCATTGGATTTCAATCGAAGTGAATGTGATGGTTTCCTCTTTGAAGCTTTATAAAAACTTTGCGTGAAAGTACATATTCTGTAAAGGGGCACCCTGCCAGGCATAGGAAGCTTTCAGTTCACGATAGATGTTCCTGAGTGCGTGTTTGTGCCGAGGTTAAAGAACATTTTTGCAAGGGACAGAGATGTTCATCTGAAAGTGCTGCGAATCAAACATGGCGTCCGTTTATATTGCGAATGCTTTGGTTGCAATGTTTTTGGCTTTATACGGAGCGACACTTGCACAAGGACAGGAATCAAACAGTCGAGCATGTGTCTTTGACAAGCAATGTATTTGTTCTGGGACACGAGTGATTTGCAAAAATCGCCAACTTCGTTCAATACCTCAGGGGATTCCATTGGGGACTACTGTATTGTGAGTATTCATACTTTTATGATGTTCTCTGAATAGTTAGACAGACTGTTCTCCCACTTGTCACTTTTGTAAATACGTAGTCACTCCTAACGAATGTTTCTTTAGAGATCTCGTGTTTATCGGTTTTGATAAGATATTTCGGGGAACCCTTTATCTAAAAGGTGAATACTCATCTACAAATAACACTTTTTGAACTGAGATCCACTGAGATCTACCGGTGTCACCTTACAACCAACATTCACGCCGAACGAAACTGGCTTTTAATTCCAGCTGTATAACAATCAAACTCATGTGATCATAAAGAAAGGGCTTAAACGTCGGTGGCATTGAGGGTTTATATTCTTTACAATTAGCTAAAAAGATCAATTGCTTCGCAATTCGAACGAGACTTGGAGCGAAATTCAACACTCATGTTTATATACTCACGTCATGTTGAATAATGCGACAAGTTTTTGGTGGTAATGCTGAATGTGAGCTGCTCTCGAGTTAAAAACACGCTAAACATCTGCAAAAGAGGTTTAGTTGTCAGTTTTGAAGGCGAAATGATTCCTTTCCTGGCGCTTTAATAGTGTAAACAAGTCACATATTGCCAACGAATTACTCACGATATGCTCTTCCACACGCTTATGTGTCAACCATGGCATTTCTTGAATTGGTTTTCCTCTTTAGTGATGTTTTCTTTGCTAAACAAATAACCAGACCCTTAACGAACTGTGAATTTGATATTTCTTTCAGTGCGTGCAAAATAAATTATGGTTTCGCACATTCGAAGAAGTTTATTTTATGCACATAGCTTGGGGAGGAAAGGAATCCTTGTTTGCATTATTTCGCGGCATATTGACATAAGAAAATGTGTATTCTGCAAAGAGTTTTCCGGTCTTTTTTTTTCCAGTTACTAGGCAGTCACTACAAGTAGCGTGCTCTCTCTCTCTCCGGTGTTGGTCGTCAGAATCCTTTTCTTTGATATTCAGACCGTAAACTCCGTGTTCCCTCGTTTACCTTTTGGTTTATCTAGTTGAGCCTGGAAATTATCAATCCGAAACGAAGATGTATGCTTTGCTTTTTGGTGAAGGTTCAAGCCGAAAATAAACGGGCTTTTTTTTAGATTGGCTCACTATGTTCATGGTTCAGTTGGTGATCAAGGTAGATCTTCCGAACATGTCGAAAGGAATTGTTCTGAAACCTGCCAAGCACACAATTATTTAGCCTGAAACAAATTTATTAAATTAGTTCTTTTGTTTTTGTACGCTTTGCATTGTTTTTGTTTGGCCTAAGAACGCTATTCGTGGCTGCCGTATTGTTCCTTTTTTGCGTGCAAAATTCACTTGACAATTAGGTTTTAAAACTCCTCAGACGTCCGCTTTAATTTTTAAAACAAATAAAGTAGAACGTTTAATGTGTTTTTCGATTTCGGCCGGGTGGCTACTAAAGGTCTTTTATTAATTTCCTACGTTTGCATTTTTTGGCTATTTAACTAAGTCCCCCGCTGTTGTATTTATTCAAACTGCATTTTGAAAAGAAATTCTGATTTGGGTAATTTTTGTCGCGCGCCAACTGCACGCGATTCGAAGCGAGTTATATTTCAATAACTGGTGTTACGCGATTCTAAGGTTATTTTTCTAAATCTTCTGTTTACAAAAAATATGAGAGTCCAGTGGATAATTATAGCGGAGGATTAAAATGAAAAGAAAGGTTTCTTTTACCCCGAGGCAGGAAAACAAAATATGCTAATACTAATATGAACGTTTTTACCCCCTACTGATGAATTGGCGAGCAGCGCTTTTCACAATTATTATGTTTTCCACTGGCAATAATTTTAAACGCAAAGAAATTTTATCAAAAAGTATGCTGAATGCTTTATGTTTCGTAAATCAGGTATCTTTAACCAGGAAAAAACTAAGAGATTAGCTCTCTTGCACGGTTCAAGAACATTGACTCCTTATCTTTTTTATGAGATTTTAGGAATTTTAATTCCATGTGTTGTTAATTAACTTAAGAAACCTGAAAACGTAAGGATAGAAATGAAATGCAAGGTTGTGAATTGAAGATTTTGTGCGAATTTGAGAACATGTAATCCTTGGCAAGGACTTGTATTTGTAATCAACTGTTTCTGCTAAGTTTTTGTCTGTGATCCATCGACTAAACTCCTAATAACAATGTTTCTGTTTTGCATTGTATATATGATTGTCATGTTTGATTTCGAGAGGAGATTTAATGCGATGAAGGTTTTTATCTCCAAAACTAAATGAATTTTCTAAAATATAATCAAAGAAAACTGTTTTGCCTCGTCACTTTTACATCAGCTGTTTTTTTCTCTTAGAAGTTGAGAGATATTTATTTTGATATTTGCCCAAAATGATTGGTCACACACATTTAAAGTAATTGCTCACTGTGAAAGAGGTTGACATGCACGATGTTTGTCAAAATTGTAATCAATCAGATATTTGTCTCATAAGACTCTGCCACAAGCACTTTTATGCAGTAATTTCTCAGTTTGCAGGCTTATGGGCAAGGCATTATTGTAATGTGATACTATAAAATAATGCTCTTATTTTCCTTGGGTGGATCAAGATTAAACAAGCTTTTACATAATCCTTTGCATCCTAAGCGTGCCAATGCACAAATTTGAAAACATTCCCTACATTTTCACTTGCCTACAGCGTAACATTAATATGCTGTTGCGAAGTGTTCATTCGCACCAAGTAAACAGACAGAACAGTTTGTAAATGGACACATTTCAGGTTGTGATACATGCCGTGCCTCTTGAACCAACTTTATGACAAGTCAATCCTTGTTTGTTAGATTTGACAGCTTCAGTTTTTTGTCAGTTATAATGCTTCTCAATATTTATTTGGCTTCTTCATGAACCCCAAGCTTACGCCCTATTTTGTACAGACTGTTCAGAAAGAGTAACCTGAGTACCATAAAACAAAAATGAATTAGAAAAACAGTCATAAACAATTTTGTCTCCAAGGCTGTCATTAATTTATTTTAACATAGGTGGTGATATCCAGAAAATAGCAAATGAAATTATTTTGTTTGTGGTAGTATCGGATGAGTGTTTTATTATTCTACCATTAAACTACATGTAGCTGTAGATGTAACATTATAAAAGCTACAGAAAGTCAGGAGTGCTTCTCATTTTATTAACGTCACTGGTATTATACATGTAAATTCTGTTAGATTTGGTGGAAATATTAAACGTTTGTCATATAAGGAGTTCTAGATTAAAGAAAAAATGTCTAATATTCAGTTTGTCAATATATATAGTTGGTGCATATGCAACATACTTAATGGACAGTGTATGATGAAATAGTTTTAACTAGCACCAGCTTTAACGAACAGGTTGGATCAGAGGTACAGGGTAGGGATGAGGGAGTTTAATGTGCATTGATTCTCCTCCCAGTGAGAGGGTGCACAAACAAAATAGCTGGTAATGAAGCCTACTACCCAGGATGCTATATTTATTGGACTCATGGTATACTCTTGTGTCTCTGGTGGTTAGGTGTATCCCCGGTCTAATATCATGCTCTACCACTGTAATATTTACATTATTTTTGTAATGTAATTATTTTCAAAAGAACTTGTACATTTAAGATAACTTAGCATAGAATGGTTGAATAACACCAAGCAGATAATCAAGACAAGCGTTAAATCCATGTAACCCCCTTACCATTTAGCTGCCAAAGAAATGTACTCCACATTTTAATTTGAAGCAGTACTTAAGCATTGTGCTTATGATTAGGCTGCTGTAGAAGAGGCTTCTTAGTTTGAGGCTCTGCACAATCAAATTAGGTGCTGTAACCTGTCAAATGCAAGTTTCTGGCATGATGACCAATACTTTACTGTGGTATTGTTTGTTTTTTTTCTTCTTTTGAAAACAGTTTGGAGGAATGTTTCTTTTTGGAAACTTAGTTGGTTTTTTATTTTAAGTTTGAATACTTTTGTGAGAAACAGACAGGAAATGTGTTCTTGAGTTTTGCTAAATGTTAAGTTGCACAGGGGAAAGTAAGGTTCAAGAAAGTGAAAGAAATCATGTGATGAAAATGAAGGACTTGATCTCATAATATGAGAAACACTTTTTTAAATGCACTGTTCCTAAGGCTTTATTGTTCAACAGTGGCTAAGAACAATATCATTCGTCGAATTCTCTGTTATTTTCAAATATATTCATTTTAATGTATAGCAAGTGCAACTGCAAAACTTGCAACTTGCAGCTCTGACTCACACAAATGTGTATGTGCATGCTTTTTCCTATTATTTAACCCTTAAATCAGTGAACTTAATTAAAGATAAAAATGCCTTGGGTATTTTTATTATTATATTTATGCAACGTTGGGAAAGACACAAAGGCTGTTGGCTCAATTTTTGACTTCAAAAACACACAGTTATTTTAAAAACAGATCTTATGAAAGCTTGTTTTACTGACGTGATTTTCTTTCGAATGTAGTGTTAAAGTTTAGTATAAACTGGACTTCAGTTACACTGAACAAGACTAAGATTAATTTACCAAGAATTGGCTGGAGTTCAAGCTCTTACTATTTTTCTGGCCTCATTATCCTTAAGTACTCTCAGAGACTCTCATTCAATTTCACCTGCCCTCATAATCCTGAATCTTTGCCAAAAATTGTTTGAAAATAATGATAATGATAATAATAGGAATAAAAATAATGATGATGTAACATACATGAAGTAGCCACATATTTGAAAAACTTAGAGAGAGTCTAGGAGAGTCCTGTGCTGTCAGCCCTGCCCTCTACCATTTGACACCTCTTGCTGTTCAATTCATAAAAAAGAATTTCAATAATGCAGTTACCGGTATCAAGTAACTACTTTGGTCATAAAAGGACATTCATTTTAATGATTCAGTCTTCATTTTTGAATTCACATATTTATTAAGCAATTTTGAATGAAAATAAAAATCAATAACATGTATTTTTAGTAGAGGTTATTGTACATGTTCTACTGTTAATAAAACACATTAGATCTGATGAGAGTTTTGATATGTTTCATTCTTAGCAGTAGCTACAATGTAGTCATTCCTTAAAAGTGACAGTTTAATATGGATATGTTAGTAGTGTTTTCAACTTTTCTTGTTTTCCATTCACCAGAGATCTAAGTAATAATGAATTGAGGACTTTGGATGTGGCAAAACTGTCAAGACTTACAAATCTCCAAGAACTGTAAGTACACTAGACGACAGTTATCTGGAAACTTGCATATAGTCCAGTGGTTTTGTTACCACTGCGTCCTGTGTCCCTGATGCATAAAGATCCCCAAAAACAAAATAGTTCATAGCATGTGTCCCACAGGACGCAAAGATTGATCAATTTGGACTACCGGTAGTTTTTTTGGTAGAATAACCTGTTTGTTTGATTTCTGTGGCTGTTGTTTAAAGATGCATATTTATTTTAGTCTTTTTTGTGCTTTAAATATATAGAAGGACTGTATTTTAATTTCAGTTAACCGTAATAAAGAGTTTTGGCATCTGTCTCCAGATTAACTGTCTGGTTACATAAAGGCCCAAGCATGACTCCTGTTTTTTTTTTTAACTTTTTCACTGGTTATGGACCAGGACTCGTGTCCTAGTCCTAGAACTCACCATAACTATTTGTAACAAAATCACTGGGTCTGTATCTCAAATCCCTCACTTCTAAAATATCTTTTAATAAGTCCCCTGTGTACTATTTACAACCTTCTTGGTGAACTATTGGGGGGATATATTCCTACTGTCCATAGTAACAGAAATTGAGTTTCTTCAATCCAAGAATCATTAAACCCACTATTACTTTGCAAACATGGTTGCATTCTATCTGAATGCAAGATGTCTGTGAAAATGTTTTGTGGGACTTAAACTAACAAAATACATGTGAGGTTGGTGGATTAGAGGCCTTTTTATATGGCAGTGCCTGCAATCCAATCTTAACCAGGTGATGAACTAAAAGACAAGTTTGAACCACAAGAAATACAAAGAGACCTGTAAAGTACATTCTTAAGGATGTTTTTTTCACAGATTTGTAACTCAGTTTGCTGACTGTCATAATTTTTTATGTTTTTCAGTCTACTACATGAAAATCAGCTTGTGGCGGTACCCCCTTGGCAGTCTCTTTCCTCGTCACTGACTCGGTTGTCTTTGTAAGTAATATTAGCTTTAACTCTGTTACATACTGAAAAAGTAAGTGAGAAATCACATATTTGCTTCATTTCCTTTGCAGTTGACATACTTAAATTTATTCATACATTCATTTTCACAAATTCATGGTAGGAGTTTCTTCCAGCAGCATGTTGTGTGTCATAGTTAATTTCCATTCATTGCCATTAATCAGTCTTTCAATTTTTGTTTTCATATTTTAAAACTTTCATGAAGTATTTAGCTTTTTTCAGAACAAAAAGTGTTGCTGTTATTGTTGTTTCTATTTTTTGTAGGTATCTACCTTTAAGCAACGTAAATTTGTGCAATTAAATACCCATTAATATTTCTAATTTTTTTAACTGTGGAAGCAAACCTTGTGAAACTTTTCTACATGAATTACTGTTTTCCTGCTATCATTATTTAGCTAGCCTAATACATGTAGGTTTGTCTGGTTTGTCTTTCACATAAATCAATAAAGAGAGGAACTGGGTAAAAAATACTTAGAAGCTCAACACAATTTAGAAGCCCCTAACCTGGGACAAGTAACTCGCTTGTGCTCCAGAAATGACATTTCACAGACCAGTTTATTTTAGATCAATGTAACCACATTTTGACTATCAAAATAAGCCTTACAAATCAGTCAGTCATGAATCTGGGGACCGGGAAGTAATATCTCCCATGTTTTAATCACATTTGCTTTCTTTATTTTCCCCATATATCATACTAGAGATGTGCATAAATAAAGAGCATTGCTTCCTTTTTCACTGGAAAATTGCTCCAAAATGATGCTTAAAATAAACTGATTTCTGAAAAAGCCAAGTATGGGAGTTGCATTCTCCAGATTATGGGCTCCTCCCTTAAAAAGAATGTGTGCCCAAACTTATGCAATTTTTTTCACTGTTTTTGCAGGCATCACAATAAAATCACTTCCATCCCCTCGGCAAATGTCACAAAACCAATGTCACTTCAGTACCTGTAAGTATTCTAATCTTGTCAAACATGCATGGTTTTATTGCTCCCTTGAATGAGTACACTGTCTTATATCATATTTTATTTTCCTCAACTTTCAGGCTTTTAAACAGCAATCGCATTTCAAGCATTGGAGAAAATGCTTTTGCTGGTCTTACTTCAATCCATACTTTGTAAGTTACTTTGTTACTAGAACTGCCTGAAATTGTAGCTAGTGCAGGGATTCATGGTGTAATTCATAGAATGAATATGTTGTTTAATTACCAATAGAATGTCTATAGTTCAAACTGCAGTCAGTTTTTTAAGTGTTCTGCCCTATGGTCAAACTAACCCAATATTACAGCTTCTTGGAAGTTACCAAAACTTTTCATGTTCTCTGTCTTATGCAAGTATTGACTTATTGCCAGGAAGGAAGGATGCTGAAACAAATTTTTAGGAACAGAAAACTATGCCCACTGCATGTTTACTGAAGAAATACAGTGTAATATCCCTTAGTTTAATAGTATTGTTGTAGATTTTTTGAGCAATGTGTTTCCTGTTTGTTTTATGTCAGGAAGCTGAGTAGGAACCGGCTAACATCTGTTCCTGTTGATGCATTAAGCCATTTGACCTTCTTAAAAAAACTGTAAGTAGCTTTGAAAGAGACTTATTTAAGTCAGTTATGGTTTATTTTATGCCCCTATCTCATCCATACATTTGCTCTTAGAATAAAGCATGTGACAGGTGATTGTTTTGTTTACACAGGGATCTAACAAAAAATTTAATCAGGGTCATCAGCTCCCAACCTCCTCTGAAGAATCTAAAGTCTGTTTTAATACTGTAAGTTGATATTTTATTATTGCTGATGCCATTTGGTTTTATTTTTTTCTCTCCTGAGCCAATTTATTTATTGTCATCAATAGTCTGGATACACGGAACATAAAACTTTTAAAAATTTAATACTTTGTTTTGCGAATTATTTGCTCTCTGTGTTATTAACAAGTTGGCCTCGTAATTTATTGCAAAAAATGCAGGGTTGCAGCTTATATGAGTGTTACTTGTAGCTTAATCATGCAGTTGCTTAGTAATAGTCAAAGGACAAAGGATTTGGCTTCAAAATTATCTGAATTTTCAAGGAAACCCAATCATTTTGATGATGGAATAAATTGTATAGCTTTCCAAGTCATAGTTCCAGAAGGGTTTTCTTTTTCTTGAGGTAGAAAAAAACTGATTGCAAATTTGGAGGATTTGGGAAATTTTTTCTTTCAGTTCACCCACTGTACTTAGAATCAAAATACTGCCTTCATGTAAAGTTAATATTACATACCTTGGACATAAAAGCTGTGTGTCAGTTGAAGAGTTTAGAAGCATCTTTTTTCAAGGATGAGTATGCTTGTTATAGTGAACAACCCATGTTCCACAACTTACAACTGTAAACTCAGTCAGTGGATGTACATTCTTGTTACAGAAAGCTTTCAAAGAATAAAATCAGAACAGTCAATCAGAATGCCTTTTGGCAAATGAGCAATCTTCGAGAACTGTGAGTAAAGCTGTAAAAGTGATTATCTCCAAACGAATGTTAATGATAACTGTAAAGTAGACTGTAGTCACATGGAAGTGAGGCATAACAGCTCACAATAGTTAAAGAACAACTCATTTACAGTGCTCCAAGCTGCGACCAGTTTGGTCACCATGGCAAGTAAAAAAATATATTGGCGACTATACTTGCAGCAAAAGTTGCCAATTTAGCGAACTGTGGTCGGCGGTCATGTATGTGGAAAAGCTTTATGCAAAACACACAAAAATGAAGTACTGGTAATTAATGTAGTTAGCGGTATAACCTTTCATGTAAAATTACACCAAGCATCATTTTTTATTTTTAATGGCGACCAATATTTTATGTCTGGCGGCCATTTTAAAACTTTAAGTCGCCAAAAGGCGACTTTGAAAAAAATTGAGCTTGGAGCACTGATTTACATTTCAGGAGAAGGTTTGAGTATTGAGCCAATTGTAGCGTCAATGCCTTTATATGGCCATTATTGTCATGCAAAGTTAACTGTATTGCTCACTTTTCAAAAGTAAAAGAAAACACCCAGTCTCCCTTTTCAGTGGACATCCCATACTTGTTTGTTTGCATTTGTTATTTCTTCAGTTCTATTGTTGAATCCTAGAGTAATTATTTAACAATATTATTCCTCGAGCCCGAATGGGCTCTGAGTCAATTCGGCCTCATGGGCTATTGACTCATGGGCCATGAGGGCGAGAGTAATAATTGTTTTAGTAAAATCCAACTAGTTAGTCATGAATATCGAGACAAAACAACTTTAGCTAGCAAAATGTTAGACTACGAGTAGTCCCTCATTTTTCCTCAGGGATAGTAGAGCGAGCAAAACGCGAGCGCGCGTGAAAATCAACCCACGCGAGAAAAGGCGACACGCGTGTCTGCAAGCTTTAGCTCCATCAACTCGGGAGAGTGCTCACAGACTTCATCTCTTAAATTGTTGTTTGTTTAGCTAGTAGTGACTTGCTGTGATTTGCTAAATTCATATTCTCTTAGCTATCTGGACAACAACAATTTAACATCTGTCTCAACATCATGGTTCTTTGGAGTTTCAAATCTTCAAAAGCTGTAAGTATGCTCAGCTGATGTTGGATTTGATAAATGCTTGCTTGCTTGCTTATATATCATTCTTATTATATTGGTATAATTTTTTTATTATGCAATCACTTCTTATATGTTTCAGATCTCTAAACAACAATCGTATCAATAAGATTATCATCCACCAAGAAGCTTTGGACTGGAGACTAGTTCTAAGGCTTGTGGACCTGTAAGGAATTTGTTCCGGATTTCTTTTTTAATCTCAATTAATATTACAGTCAGGTTTTTAATCCCAATTCATCTTTTTTTGTGGAATAATAACCAGGAGGCAAGAACAATGTTGCAAAAACCGCTAATAGAAATTTCAGTTACTCAAGTGTATAAGCCCACGTGGTTATTAAAAACGCTTGATAATTACTTTTCCTTTTTAAGAACACAGGTTTAAGTACTACCCTGAATACAACCACTTTGTTAATAGGACAATAAGAAGGCTTATTATACTTTCGCCTGAACTCAGTAGCGCTTAGTTATTTTCTTTCCCAAAAACTTTGTGACGTAAATGTATTCGCATTAGTTAAGTCCGTGGTTGCATTGTACATGTTTAAAAGTACTTAGCACTTTTCCAAAGCTTCACCTTCTTATTTGTCGTTTGTTTATCCTTTGTTACAGTAATCTGGCCAAGAATGAGCTTTCTCTCATTGATTCAACCACATTCGCGCATCTGTCAAACTTGCAAAGGCTGTGAGTACTATCTGAATGATAAACGTTAAACACTTTATTTATGCCATCACCAAGTCTTTCGTTAAGTTTTGTTACTTGGGACAGAAATTCCCCATCAGATCTCCGTCCCTTTTGAATGTAAAGTCTCGAATCTCTCCACATTTCCCAAATATTTCACAGGTGCGTAAAAACATTCCACATAAATAAGTATTTTTGACACGCACAAAAAGCAGCCCCGTCTTATATTCAAGATTCATTTACTGTGTACACTCATTTATCTTGTATTGTGTTTACAGTTACCTTGGCAGCAACAGTATTTATCATATGGCAGAGGGAGCATTTTCTGACTTGAATTCACTTGAGATGCTGTGAGTTGTAATATTTTTGTTTTGCGATATATATTGTCCTTGTTCGTTGAGGCAGATAACGGTGAATAATTGTAAGTGTGTATCCTGTAACTCATCTCTTATCCTAATTGTAACACCTTAAGTCACACCCGACCGCACTTGAAATTCAACCCAACGCAAAGAACATGCAGTTTGCCAGCTGCTCGAGAATCAGTAAATTGATTGGTCCATCTGGGCGTTGCTTCATACCGCAGCTTTCTTACAAACTAAATCACTGCTGACGTTGGAAGTAACCTCGGTTCCAGAATCGTTGTCTTGTCACCTGTGTTACACTGTGTCACTTCTCCTGAGGATGACGTCATTTACGATGGAAATAGACCGGGAACTTGTTTGTTTTGTTTTGCAAGATCCCAAATGAGTGCGATTCTGTCAAATGGGCTAAAGACGTAAATTCAGTGACTGACTATTTTGAATAAAATCTCGTCTAGTTAAAGCCCAGCGAAAAGCGAAAAACAAAGGAGTGAACAATGGAAGAAAAGGGTGGCGCATGTGCAACAGCGGAAAGAAAAATAAAATTGAAAACTTTCTCTCTTCTCGCTCGCTTTGTGCGCGTGCACGAGAACAAGAGGTTGTTATTTTTTAACTGTACACAAAACCAGGTTAGTTCGCGAGTTACAATTAAAGCTGTGGAAAGTATTGGTTCTTTTTGTCCAAACACCACGGTTTGAAAATTTGCGTTAAGCGTAGGAATCAGTTGCTTTTGCATTTAACTGCAACTTTTAAGATCCCTTCCAATGGAATAACCTTAACATGAGCGGCGTTGTTTTTTTATTGTCAGAGACCTGAGTAATAATGCGCTCTCATCAACATTGGAGGGAACAAATGGCGTGTTCTCTGGACTAGCCAAATTAATTATGCTGTAAGTATTAGATGGAGTAACGTCATTTTTACACATCCACGGGAGGGGTGGGTGGGGAGGGTTAGGTCATAGAAAGTTATGAAAAATTGATTTTATGTTTAGTAGATAAGTAACTGCAGATGTCAATGCGAGGACAAAGTACAATAAAGACAAGTAATTAAACAGCACGATCGAACGGCACGCGAGTTGGTGGACATCAGAGTTTGTGTCTGTTGAACTGAGTTAGGGGAAAAAAATCCCGGAAGACAAGGATAGTTTTGAAACTTTCTTAGATGACAGCGAAATTTGAGGTCGACGAAAAATTGAAAAGTTCATGGAAAAAGTCATGGAATGTGAAAGCTCAAAAAAGTGCCGACCGTGTGGGAAATAAAAGACGAATTTTTTTGGCTGAAGGTTAAAAGCAGTATATTTTCTTTTCATTCTTTAGGAGACTAGATGGTAATCGTATCACGTTGATAGCTAAAAACGCATTTACTGGTCTTAACGAAGTCACAAGCTTGTAAGTATATTGATTGCTAAAACTGAGCAAGGAATACTAGAAGATTTTTTTACTTAAACGAGCAGTCCGTTAAGTTAAACGTCCTTCTACGGAAAGGTGACCCCAATCCTAACTATGTTGTGTATAAGCCAGTTTAAAAAATTTGAAGAAAATTAAAAATGTGTTGAAAACAGAAACAAACAAGCAAACTAAGTTCACTGAAGTTTTGAATGTTCCTACTTATAATGTACCGTCACTTGTCACTCTTTTTGTGTACAATTAATGGAAAAGAAATTTCTACCGGCTTTCGCAAGTAAAAGCTATATTTCCTCGCCAATTGAAATGACCATACTTTGGGTAGACGGAAGTTTCTGTACAGTATTTATTGTAGTAAAAGGTTTCTTTAAAGTATAATCCTCCATCCTCTCAGGTAAGGTAAGGTAAGAATTATCCTCAACACGCAAATGCGTCGCATGTTAAATTCTCAAAAAAATTGCTTTGTTGCTTTGATAGAAACCTGTCTGCAAATATAATAACATCTATTGAAGAGAATGCGTTCATGACGATGACCAAACTTAAATATCTGTAAGTAGGATTTTGATCTGTTACATCATGAGTAGTGGTGCTTTTTTGATATTTTAAGAAAACTAAGAATGCTTAAGATCTTTATCATGTTAGACAAGCTGGAAATGTTGCTGGCAGTGAAGTCTGTTTTTCACGCACTCTTTTTAGAGGTGATTTAACGTGATTTTGTCAATCCTTTTTTCAGTTATCTCAACACAACTCAACTTGTATGCAACTGTAAACTCAGATGGCTTCCTGCATGGCTTGTTGGTCAGGAATTCAAAGATTACGTCCATGCTGTGTGTTTACATCCAACAAATCTAGAGAGAAGAAGCATTTTTAACCTTACGTCTTCAGACTTTATCTGTGGTAAGAAATATTACTAGTTCTGCTGTTCAGGTTCGTAATAAGATTACTTCCTCTTCATCTTGTTAAGGTGATGTTACACGGGACGATTTGCAGCGACCATTTTTAGCGCAACGCAGCATTACAACATTGTTGCGACATTGTTTCGAATGGTTGCAACATTGTTCCAACATTGCTACGCTGTTTTGCGCTCAAAATCGTCGTTGCGAGTCGTCTCGTGTAACATCACCTTTACTTCCTATTCGGCCGCACATAAGGCCTTACCAACCCCCGCTTTAACTCTCACGTTCCGCCGCGTTTTTTCATGTCATCCCATAAATCCAACAAGTCATCTCTTTCTTCATCGCACTTCTCTCCTTAAAGTTATTTCCCTGAAGTCACCAGTGGTTTAGTCAGCTGTTGAGCGTTTCTATTGCTTGTCCATCTCATATAAGGTGTGATCGCTTTTCCTGGCTGTTATGCAAGGTTTCTCAGTTGGGAATAAGTGTTTGTTACTTTGCCTCTAAGCCTGCAAAAGGAGGGATTGTTCTTTGTCAGGCCCCTACCCCGGCCTCGATCGGTCCGGCAAAGAAAGACTACCGTAGTAAGGTGACCGCTCTAGGTGAAGGGAAAACCACTTTATAAAGTTAAATCTCGACTGCTCGTTAGGGCGACTTTGACTTACTCGCTTTATTTTCATAGATATAAATGACTCCCAACCGGCGATAATACAGCATCCCGAAGATCAAACAGTTCTGTTGGGTCAGAACGTGACCTTGCGGTGCGTTGTTACACACAAAAACCGTACAGTCATAGTGTGGACTAAAGACAACAAACCGCTGAGTGGAGTCAAAGTCACAAACCGCGTCCAGGTAAAGTTGACTTACTGTGACTGGATACCACCACAATAACATAACCTAACCAAAGGTAAACATGTTGTTGTCCTTCGCCATGGGGTGATAGTTGATGGGAGGTTTACGTTTATCGTCCAGAGAAGTAACAGGATACCAAAAACCAATGCTCGACAGCACTTACCTACAGATATCACGTGACTTGACAGCTTCGCTATTCTACAACACGTGTACTGATTACATAACTACTAGGCCACTGTGCCGGCGGCTTATCCCACTATAACTTAACTTAACTAAATCGCACCTTTTCGTTTTGTTCTTTCTGAGCAGTCTAAGGATGGAAGCTTGGCGACTTATTCTAGCGAGCTACGTCTGATAGCCGTGACGGAAAAAGACGATGGGTATTACCAGTGTAAGGCTTCGCATCAGTTTAACTCTGTCCCGTCCAAGATGGCGCGGATCACAGTGCTAGGTTAGTCTAGTATCATGGTTATATGAGAATTATAAACAGAAACGGAAAGCTCTTGTGTGGTAGATAGTTTGAAATCCATCACACAGTATGCAGACGGTCTATTACTGGTATAACGTGTCTTGCTTATTATCTTTATGTTACAACACGTTTTGCTTAGACGTGTAGAGCTGAAGCGTCCGTCCCTCTTTACTCTAACGCGACACGTGTGGTGCCCCGGGAAGGACGGTCTCCTTCCCATGACGCCCTGCGCTGCCTGTTGGCCGTGCAATGCACACCTGGAGACGAGACAGTTTGTGAAGGCTGTCCATAGGTAGAATTAAGAGAAAAGAAAGCCATCATAATTTTGCTTTTGTGTAAATGTACGTATTTTTGTGTATTTTTTATTACTTAGCTAACATGCACATGTTTATATATTTATTTATTTATTTTTATTGCCAGTGTTCCCCAAACTGACAGTGAAACCTTCCGATGTAACAGTTGAGGTTGGCCAAGTCTTTCGATTGCAGTGTAGAGCACAGGGACACCCAGAACCACAGATAAAATGGCAGGGCTTAGAGCGAATGGGCATAGATGGAAGGATAGGATTTTCACAAGCTGACAAAGTTATTGTTATCCAGAACGCTACAGCCAGTGACAGTGGAAAATATACTTGCATTGCCTCTAACCAGGCTGGTTCAGTGAATGCCTCTGCATTTGTTACTGTGCTAGGTAAGGTAACCTAAGATACACTGAGCTGAGAAATAAGTTTTAAGTGTTGTTTTAATAGCCGGGCTTTTCTTTCTCTGCAGATGAACCTCATTTGTATCGCAGAACGAGAAGCGAGATAACAGCGGCAGTGGGTGACAGTGCTGTCTTTGAATGTTATGCCAGTGGTGCTCCAAAGCCAGTTATTTCGTGGTTTAAAGATGATACAAGATTAATGACTGGCAGTAATATTATCAGTGCAGAGTCGGGACAGCTGCTTGTAATACGTCAGTCGACAGAGAATGATGAGGGCAGTTACACTTGTGTTGCTACAAATTCCCAGGGAAGGGATAGTCATACTGTTGAGCTGACTATAATAACAGGTATGCTGCTCAAAAATTGTTAGCGGGTACAAATTGAGAAGCAGGCTTATTGCGGTCACGTTTGCGTTCTCTTTTATTAAATGCACACTCATAAGATCCTCTTAACTGTCCAACAAACTTACTTAAACGGCAGAGAAATGTATCGAGATGTAAAACGCACTTGAAGAGCCTTCGTTTGTCTTTCCCGGCCATTTTCCGCTGTGCAGTTCCCTACAGTGAATCAAACAGTCAAAACCAGTCACTTAAGGAAAAACACAGGGGAAATACTACCGGCCACACAGCTAAACCTGCTTACTTTTTCCTTTTATTGGAAGCGTACTTTCATTGCTGGATGGGATTATCGTCCTCATTTTATACTCACTGTTTGATTGTATTTTTTGCTGTTTTCTTGCAGAAGAATGTACCGATGTTTCAGTACCTGAAAAAGTGAACAAGTCGAAGTACGTGAAATACGATAAAAAGACATTTTTAGGGATCATAGTTGTGGTGGTAGTGTCTTGTATTGTGGTGACGTCATTGGTGTGGTTGTTCATTCAATACAATACCCTCTCGTGTGGTAAAAAGAGGGCACCCAAGAGGCGGAGTCAGTTTCCTGCAGCATTTGACGCTGATTGTACAGACGAATCTAAAGCGTTTCAACACGACGACATAAGTTACATTCCTTTAAAGGTATCAAGCTCAAGTAGTACTCAAACTAGCCGTGAATCACCGCGCTCCACTGCTACCTTTCTAACGTCTTCGGAATCAGCCCAAGGACCTTGTATAGTCCGCACTCTTGGCTCTAGCACAGAAATCGCTGCGTCAGGCACAGAAGAGAAGTCCACGACAGCTGATAACGTTTCTTCAGAGAACTCACTGAAAGGGAGTCATAGTTCTTTGACATCTTCATGCACTTCCGATGCTTGCCATCCAAGTTACCAGCAAGTTGTAACCTCAGCAGAGATTCACGTGTCAGATAGTGACTCTGAAAAACAAAAACCTTCTGTCACGTGTAGGAGACACAGTTCGCATAGCGAAGATCCAGGCGGAGGTGTTTGTGAAATCAAACTTGATATTCCTGATAACACTCATTGTGACGAACAGTCTTGTTTATCAAAGAGACCGTTATTAACAAACGAAATTTCGCCGGAGGTGGTCAATAGGGACGACATGTGTGTGACAGTTTATCCCTTAACGAACTCGGACACTTCTTGCGTCACAAATGAAGTAGTAGACTCCTCTTCAGTGGAAACATAGCGTCACGCGTCTTTTATGCATGTTAAATCTCCACCTCCCCCCTCTAACACTTCGTGTAGAGAAGGATATTTGAAGGCTGGTTTTCACCAGATCATGAAAATCGCGCACCACACGAAAGTTCCAGGCACAAACTCACCAATTAACAAAGTTAATTTTCATGCCCGTGTTTGCTCTAGTGACGAGGTCAAAAGAGAAAAAATACCGAGTGTGAGTTCAGATCTCTGCAAGTGTCTTTGCTGTCCTACGGCACTACGCTTATTGCTAGCGCGGCCAGCCTTCAATCATGGTCAAATCTCGCAATAATTTGCATAACTTCTCTGAAATCCCTTGGTCAAAACGTTAAAAATGAGTGCCGGGCTAACTTGCAAGTTTCTGTCGGTCAATAAGAACCGCGGAAAGTGCGTAAAGAGGGTTCAACTTTTGATTTAAGCACGAGAAGAGATGGCGGCTCTAAAACTATTGTGCCCCTGTTCAAGTCATGTTTTTTTAAAACTTACGCATTAGATGTCAATTTGCGAGAGTTTGTTAGTTTTGACAGGCCATTTGAAAGAGGATTTAGTAATATATTATAAATAATTATTTGTTAAATATGTAAATAGGTCGAAGTTCTCAGCCATTCTGCATATATTTACACCCTAACTACTGTGAAACTCATTGATTACAGGAGGCACCAAATGATCTCATTCAGTACCAATCCACAATGTATGAGTTCAGGGATATCCTATGTCCCATCTCCAGGCTGGGCACGAATACAGCACCTTAAATTAACCATAAGTTATTTTCTTAAAGTAGATGATATATTCACGGAGCGGCCATTATACTCTAAGAGGCGAGTGCTCTATGGCCATGTGTGGTTCCACTGTATACTCTACTCTGTATTGTGGAAAGAAAATTCAACACTGAGAGTGTATTGTGATTGTCCCACAAAAATCTCTATTGTTAAGACTTACAACATCCAATAGTGTCTGAAGGTAGTGACAAGTTTGGCATTGAGTCATACCGGTTCGCTTCCCTACTTTCGTTTTTGGTCAATTTTCTGACCCTGCACAACGAAAATGTATTTATTGCTATATCTAATTAGGTGATTAACAAAATAAAACAAGGTACAGATTCACTACATACATGCTAAATCCTATATTATTAAATAAAAACACAAAAATATAATGTTATTAAAAATAAATTTTTAAATACGATGGTGTTAATCTTTCATACCTGGGAATGATCATCTTGGTGAGACCCTAGGTTGGGTACCCTGTAAAATGGGGAGCGGTGGGTGGTGGATGGCTATTAGCGAGACAATTGAACATCGCGGAAAATTACTGTTTTGAGGGTAATACGAATTTTACGGTGGTAGACGCAAATATTTTTGAATGGCGGCCTGAAATATAGGAGGCAAAAAAGTAGTACGAGTTCTTATGTCGCTGACTAGACTCAAAACAAACCAAACCAAAAAGAAGGCTGACACGTGACAAGTATAAATAATAAACCTTCATGGTAGTACAGGGTCACTAACCAACAGGAAACACTTTCCAGATCAAATGGAATGGAACTTTAACCAGGGCAACATTTAGTGAGAGGCAAGTGCTCCATAAATTAAGACTCCCTCTCTCGGCCACTTAGTGCATGGTAACTGATAGTGATGACAAGTGACCCAGGAAAGGCAGAGGAAATTGTCCCATCTATCGGCCAAATCCCTCTTTCAGCCTAGTTCCAGTCTCCCGCGACTGACGGGCAACCTACAATTGTAGGTTCTCCGCTGCAACTTTCGCAGTGGGTCCTAGCCCCATGAGGCCAAACCTGAAAGTGACAGCTGACCGGGGCCTTTCTCTGTTGCCCTCCTTAACCGCACTTTTCAAAAATACGCGAACTCCAAAATTCAAAAAGCCGCCTTCAAAATTGAGTTTTTCACCGCCTTCAATCATATTTTAACGATCGCAAGCAACAAACCTTGAAAAACAAAAAAGGAATCGAAATCCACCAATCACAAACCATGGCCTTTTGAACCCGTTAAACTAAAGTTCTGTTTCCTGAGAGGTCCGCTAAGATGATTGACAGCAGCGAAAAACTCAAACGTCAGTTGGCTTTTAAACCTCAGAATTCGCGTGTTTTTGAAGAGCGCAGTAAGTAGCTGTCGTTGAGTCGCCCGTTGCCAAACCTGATATTGACAGCTGAACCGGGCCCTCCTCGACCCTGCACACAATTTGCAGTGCTTCCTAGTCCCTCTCGACCAAATTAATCTCCGTTCTCAGGAGCTAACCTTAGAGTTATACCTTGAGTTAACCCGGGTTTGGACCGTTTGGTACTGGGCGCTAAGTCTGAATGGAGGGTGAGAGACCAGACTACTCACCATTTTTCAAGCAACTATGTCAAAGGACCCTCAAAGTCTAAGTTGCTAGCTTCCCCAATCATATGTATTGTATTGTAACCTTTATTTACATATTTATTCATTCGTATTACTATTTTTGTTAACCTCTTTTTCCTTGATGTTGTAAATCTCTTTTGTTTTCCTTGTAAAATGTCTTAGAATGTATCAGTTCACTTATGTAGAGAACCCACACTGCCTGCTTCGAATAGCTTTAACTAAATGTAGGTGGTGTGTATGTTTAAAGGTTAAATGAACCAAAAATTCGACATTTTTTATTTTAGTCCAATTCTAGTAAAGTGTGTTCAATATGAAACTCATAAGGGGTTTTCAACCCCTTATGAGTTTCTTTATGAACCAAATAAACATACTATGAAGTCTTCGGAAATGCTCGGATTTTGATCTTTTATCTTTCTATAAAGGCTTGGGAAGAAAAATCTTTACCCACATCTCACTTAGGATGTTTCTTTTTAGCGTTTGGTGAAGATAAAACGACAAAAGAAAATATTTCAATTTTTTGGTTCATTTGACCTTTAATGTATTCCATTGCTTTTAATAAAGTTATTTAAGTTCCGGAAAATTCCGGAGGCGCGTCGCGCGCGGAGTGTGTAAATTTCAGATTTTGATCTCATTCACGGTTTTCGGGACGAAAGCTAATAGCGCCATTTATAAGAGGAAAAATAAGACGCGTCTTAAATAAGACGCGAACTGGACCATTTATACGAGCAAGTCTTATCTAAGGGCCTGTTTACATGAACGTGGGGGACTCCAGGTAGGTGAGGTAACATGTGGCGGTTTACCCCACCTAACATGTAAACGTGATCACATTAAAATGAGAGATTGTATGGACAGGCGGGTTACCCCACCTAAGGGGGTTACCTCACCTACCTGGGGTCCCCCACCTCCATGTAAACAAGCCCTAAGACCAAAACAGCTCGTATAAATGGTTCGCGTCTTATTTCTGTCCTTGACTCGTTTTCATGTGAATGACCTGAACTTACTTTTTAAGTGAAAGTTTATGACACGAAGATAGCAATTTGATCAGTACATATAAATTGTGATAGTTTAAAGTTAAAAGGGTCTACTCACACCAGATGTCACGCATTTGTCCAGGAGGTCTGCTATTGCCTTCTCCTTACATAATAACAAGATATACTTTTCCTCCGCGATGGACCAAGTGTTTCTTTTTGCCTTTAACGGCGCGCTCTTTGTAATTGGGCGAAGAAAAAAATAAAGCAAAATAGACAAGACAACGAAAACGCGTTGTATTTGTAAACAACTTTTCCCTGCCAGTAGCCTGCCAGTCCGAAGTGTGGCAAGCGATAATTTTCCCGCCAAAAATTAACGCATGCGTACTATGCGTTCGCGTCTTAAGTAACACGCAAAGGACGACGCGAAGGTCATTTATACGAAGTTTTCTCGTCTTAACCGAGACGCGTCTTATCTAAGAACAGGTGTTAAGGGCCGTTATAAAATAAGACGCGTCTCCGCTAAGTCGCGTCTTATTTTAGACGAAATGTGCCGTTTATACGGAAAGTTCGCGTCTTATTTAAGGCGCGTCTTATTTTTCCTCGTATTCTTTGTTTGCACGTAACGCGTGAAAAATTACAGTGTTTGTATGAGAATCTAATGTCGAATAATTTCCGTAAAACGGCTGTTCTGAAAAAAAATATCAATTGTGAACTAAAGCTACAAAGCAAAGGATTGTCCTAAAAAATTTAGGGGGCGTACCTGTACTTAAATTTCGCCAGAGGCTTGCTTTAGATTTTCCACATATTTATCTGTGATTTTCCCTGGACTTTCTTAGACAAATGTATAGAAAATTTTAAAAAGTGGTTCTAGGTCTTCTAGTGCATGTAACGCCCTCAANAACCTCTTTTTCCTTGATGTTGTAAATCTCTTTTGTTTTCCTTGTAAAATGTCTTAGAATGTATCAGTTCACTTATGTAGAGAACCCACACTGCCTGCTTCGAATAGCTTTAACTAAATGTAGGTGGTGTGATGTTTAAAGGTTAAATGAACCAAAAATTCGACATTTTTTAGTTTAGTCCAATTCTAGTGAAGTGTGTTCAATATGAAACTCATAAGGGGTTTTCAACCTCTTATGAGTTTCTGTATGAACCAAATAAACATACTACGAAGTCTTCGGAAATGCTCGGATTTTGATCTTTTATCTTTCTATAAAGGCTTGGGAAGAAAAATCTTTACCCAAATCTCACTTAGGATGTTTCTTTTTAGTGTTTGGTAAAGAAAAAACGACAAAAGAAAATATTTCAATTTTTTGGTTCATTTGACCTTTAATGTATTCCATTGCTTTTAATAAAGTTATTTAAGTTCCGGAAAATTCCGGAGGCGCGTCGCGCGCGGAGTGTGTACATTTCAGATTTGGATCTCATTCACGGTTTTCGGGACGAAAGCTAATAGCGCCATTTATAAGAGGAAAAATAAGACGCGTCTTAAATAAGACGCGAACTGGACCATTTATACGAGCAAGTCTTATCTAAGACCAAAACAGCTCGTATAAATGGTTCGCGTCTTATTTCTGTCCTTGACTCGTTTTCATGTGAATGACCTGAACTTACTTTTTAAGTGTAAGTTTATGACACGAAGATAGCAATTTGATTAGTAAATATAAATTGTGATAGTTTAAAGTAAAAAGTGTCTACTTACACCAGCAGATGTCACGCATTTGTGCACGAGGTCTGCTATTGCCTTCTCCTTACATAATAACAAGAAATACTTTTCCTCCGCGATGGACCAAGTGTTTCTTTTTGCCTTTAACGGCGAGCTCTTTGTAATTGGGCGAGGAAAAAAATAAAGCAAAATAGACAAGACAACGAAAACGCGTTGTATTTGTAAACAACTTTTCCCCGCCAGTAGGCTACCAGTCCGCCTCGGGGTAAGCGATAATTTTCCCGCCAAAAATTAACGCATGCGTACTATGCGTTCGCGTCTTAAGTAAGACGCAAAGGACGACGCGAAGGTCATTTATACGAAGTTTTCTCGTCATAGCCGAGACGCGTCTTATCTAAGAACGGGTGTTAGGGGCCGTTATAAAATAAGACGCGTCTCCGCTAAGTCGCGTCTTATTTTAGACGAAATGTGCCGTTTATACGGAAAGTTCGCGTCTTATTTAAGGCGCGTCTTATTTTTCCTCGTATTCTTTGTTTGCACGTAACGCGTGAAAAATTACAGTGTTTGTATGAGAATCTAATGTCGAATAATTTCCGTAAAACGGCTGTTCTGAAAAAAATATCAATTGTAAACTAAAGCTACAAAGCAAAGGATTGTCCTAAAAAATTTGGGGGGCGTACCTGTGATTTTCCCTGGACTTTCTTAGACAAATGTATAGCAAATTTTAAAAAGTGGTTCTAGGTCTTCTAGTGGATGTAACGCCCTCAAATTTATTCAGGAGAATCCTTAGGAGTGAAGCTTTAGTTTACAAATCATATTTTTTTCAGAACAGCCGTTCTAGCCTTAGAAAACAGCCCAACATTTTCGCACAAACACTGTAATTTCTCACGCGCTTGCCTACTCGTCAAGATCGCGTCGAAAACCGTGACAAGGTCTATTGTTACCTAGACAGGCGTTAAAGGGGCTACCTCACGCTGTGACTTTACCCCAAGATCCGGCTTAGGTGGTCCTTGCAAGGTTTTATNGGGCCGTTATAAAATAAGACGCGTCTCCGCTAAGTCGCGTCTTATTTTAGACGAAATGTGCCGTTTATACGGAAAGTTCGCGTCTTATTTAAGGCGCGTCTTATTTTTCCTCGTATTCTTTGTTTGCACGTAACGCGTGAAAAATTACAGTGTTTGTATGAGAATCTAATGTCGAATAATTTCCGTAAAACGGCTGTTCTGAAAAAAAATATCAATTGTGAACTAAAGCTACAAAGCAAAGGATTGTCCTAAAAAATTTAGGGGGCGTACCTGTACTTAAATTTCGCCAGAGGCTTGCTTTAGATTTTCCACATATTTATCTGTGATTTTCCCTGGACTTTCTTAGACAAATGTATAGAAAATTTTAAAAAGTGGTTCTAGGTCTTCTAGTGCATGTAACGCCCTCAAATTTATTCAGGAGAATCCTTAGGAGTGAAGCTTTAGTTTACAAATCATATTTTTTTCAGAACAGCCGTTCTAGCCTTAGAAAAAAGCCCAACATTTTCGCACAAACATTGTAATTTCTCACGCGCTTGCCTACTCGTCAAGATCGCGTCGAAAACCGTGACAAGGTCTATTGTTACCTAGACAAACATCGACAGGCGTTAAAGGGGCTACCTCACGCTGTGACTTTACCCCAAGATCCGGCTTAGGTGGTCCTTGCTAGGTTTTATAGTAACACACCTGGATCGCTTATTCCGCGCAAAAACACTTGATTGGTTATGGAAAATGTTTGTCTGTATTAGTAAGGCTTGAGCCACGCGCAGGTTGATCTCCTTTTAGGGGTTTCACTCTATTTTTCGACGCACATCCCTGCCAAAGTCACAACCCCAGGTAAAGACCAAACAAGGAGGCCAAGAGTAGCCTCCCACGCGGACGTTGTTAGGGGTTCGTCACGCGTTCCGGTCAGGAGTAAATAGAGGCAACTCAGAAATTGCTAATAAATTAGGCTTTTGAAACTGTGGGCGGACCATTTGTTCTTGAAAGCTGAAAGGGTGGGATTGGAATTTGTTTTGTGCGCGAGTTATTATTGTCGTTGTGCATAACTTTTTAACAATTGTACCTTTTTTAACACCATTATAACATGGGAAATAGCTTGTTATGTTCCGTTTCAATTATTTATTTAATTATTCTTGAAAAATCACATAAGGGGAGAGGATAATCAAGTATTTCATATCGTTTGTTGAGCGGTGGAGTTGAGGGTTGACAATGAGCCCATCCTAATAGAAAGTGGGTAGCGAGGTTTTAAACAGGTTCGTGTAAAGTCTATTTTACTGGGAGCACGATGCTTTTTATTTCCAGTTCAGCTATCCAAATAAATAACTTGATCCAAAGCTTCACAGCGGCACAATGTGACTGAGGCATACACACGCCCCCAAGTCTACTTCTTTGAGCCAAGTGAACAAGCAAGAAACGCGAAAAAATCGCGTTTTCCATCTTGACCGAGCAACCGGCTGAAAAAGACTTTTAGAACGTCTAACTTAAGCACAACAGTCCACATTCCAGTCTCAGTAAGGGACTGCTAACAACCACACGCTCGCATATTCGATATTTTATGGCCAACAAAATGGCTGGTAGTAGACCCTTTATATTACTGGAGCTTTGCTTGTTATACCCCCTGTACTACACAAACAAGCACTTCCCCTCCCCCGCCCCCAAAGAGCAATGACAAGTTTATTTAACATTATTCATTATTCTACATTTAAAAACAAGTAACGTTGGGTAAAAATAGCTGCGTTTCTACGTTCAAAAGGAAAACAATGGTGCCCATGGGTAACATACAGGAGATTTTTTTCCTTTCATGCACTATCTTGTTATGGGTGATGGATTACTGACCCTTTCATCTTCATCTAATCCCGGTATGGGAAAGACTTAGAGTCTCAATGAGTAGATCTAGAAACATCCTTTCCTCTCCAATGAAGGGGATCTTTTCCACGACTCCCCACCCTTTAGAGGTTCTGAGGACAGTCACTCTCTTTCTACATAATGTTTTCTTCCACACAGCATCCTGGTGCTAAATTTTAATACATCTTCTCACTTTCAGCTGTCATTGTCCCACTTGATTGTAGCATTTCATGTAATAAATAATGATATTGAAACTGACCAGCAGAATAGGGTTTGCAAAGTTTGCACATCCCATCGCCGGAGTTCTGACACCAGACAGCTTAATTGCTCACAGGCTAGAAAGTACATTATGATGATCAAATTTGATAGCTTAAATTTAAGAGACACAGGACAGGATCTTCTTTGACAATCTTGTCTGCATATGCTTTGATCAGTTGTCTGGCTCCTGTCAGTAGTACAAGAGAACAGCTGAAACTTCAGTATTCATTTGCATCCCCAATATGCTCACATATGTCATCAAAGTCCACAGTAACAACCTTCTTATCCAGCGTAAGTTGTATTACAGCACTGTCCTCGGATTTGTCTCTCTTAAGTAACACTGCTAGCTGCCAATGAAATGAACAGATCTGTATGTCAAGCTAATAATAATGATAATAATGATGATGACCCACTTCAGAAGTACTTCAGTGCGATTAATATTTTTATTACTATTGTGACAGTATTCTTTGGAAGAAATTTGGAAATAGAGGAGATTCCATCCCAAAATAAATTATTTTCCCCAAAGTAGATTGATTTCAGACAAAATGTTTAGCATCACAAGTAGCTGCATAAGTGTGCACAGCAGGAGCCTGGTATTTCTTATAATTATTTTACTCTTACCGTTAGCATCTTTAGCTTCAGAAAGTAAAACAGAAGTTGCTAACCTGTCCTTTGTGATCACCCTTGACTACTCTGACATAGGAATCCAGTGTTTTGGGTACAACTGTCTCCAATGCTGATTGTGGTATGTCTAAACAAAGACAGCAAAACAAAGAGTCAAAACCGAAGAAACTACAGACAAATCAACAGATTTTTTTTTTCAAAAATAAAGAGAGGTGGAATAGCTTAGTTGGGTTTTACTTTTATGTGATGCTGCCATGTAAGCATTGTCATGTATATTGCATGGTAAACTGTGTAATCACATTTTGTCATTGGTATAAATACACAACTCGTTTGGGGGTTTCTGGGTCTTTATTGCAATGACCAACGCATGAATACCAAAAAAAATTCCAGTTGCTAACTACGCTCTTACTGTTGTTTCTTGCTCAATCGCTGTCACAATATGCCAGTTACTTTAGCAACGAGACAAACCAAAAGAGCTTCTTTAATGTGCACTGTGATTGTAGGTTCTTTATTGCATTTTTGCAATATCTTGTCCTAGTCCTCACCCAGCCACCCCAAAAATTGTACCCTGAACATTGTGTTTTTTATTTCATTATTTTAATCTTGCCTGTTTACTATTTTACAAAAACGTTTACATGCTTCTATTCTGCTCTTACCTTCAAGAAACCTTCCCTCATCAGTTTGACACACACACCTCTCTGTGCTGACCACATCAACTATTTGAACCTTTGCAAAGACATGGAGGAATCCTTGATTTTTTAAAAATATTCAGAGTGATAATAATGGANGGTAAACTGTGTAATCACATTTTGTCATTGGTATAAATACACAACTCGTTTGGGGGTTTCTGGGTCTTTATTGCAATGACCAACGCATGAATACCAAAAAAAATTCCAGTTGCTAACTACGCTCTTACTGTTGTTTCTTGCTCAATCGCTGTCACAATATGCCAGTTACTTTAGCAACGAGACAAACCAAAAGAGCTTCTTTAATGTGCACTGTGATTGTAGGTTCTTTATTGCATTTTTGCAATATCTTGTCCTAGTCCTCACCCAGCCACCCCAAAAATTGTACCCTGAACATTGTGTTTTTTATTTCATTATTTTAATCTTGCCTGTTTACTATTTTACAAAAACGTTTACATGCTTCTATTCTGCTCTTACCTTCAAGAAACCTTCCCTCATCAGTTTGACACACACACCTCTCTGTGCTGACCACATCAACTATTTGAACCTTTGCAAAGACATGGAGGAATCCTTGATTTTTTAAAAATATTCAGAGTGATAATAATGGAAAATCCAAACCAATGGTATAATTTATTATCATATTAATTTTTATTATATAAACACCAATAGAATACCAGGTGAGCTTTCGCGCGAAAACATGATATCTTCACAAGTGAAAATAACATGTTATTTTCACATGTGAAAATATCGACGTTGCGATGGCTACGTAATAAATCGCGCCTTTCGCAGGAAAAAACTGCTTTATTGAAATGGTTTGGTATTTCATTAAAATTTATATAATAAATAGAACATTACATGGCCACTTGGAGATACGAAATTTCTCTTCGAGTGTTGAAAAATATTTCACGAGTGAGCGTAGCGAACGAGTGAAATATTTTCAACACGAGAAGAGAAATTTCGTATCTCCGCGCGGCCATGTAATATCCTCTATTTTTTAGTCGTTTTTACCTTTTTGTTGTAATATTTGCCTTTCTCATAATCCTTACTGATGATCCTCACCCTTGTTTGTGGAAATAACCAGCATTTGACTTTTTTCCTATGGTGGTCATTTGAGTTCCCAGATTTGCTCATAGAGCTATCCTTATCCTTCTTGGGATATTTGCTTCCCTCATGGTGCCCTTCCCTACAAAGAAAGATGCCAGTCTTAAAGTACTCATGTGCCAATCCTTACCTTCTAACATTTCCACAAAGTTTCCAAAACCCTTTCAAAATTAATGTAAAAAAGTAGAACTACTTCAGTGTGTCGTGAGTACATTGGATTAAGGTTAGTCGTGCAGGGCTCCCCATAGTTCTCCATTCTACCAATAGAAGTTGGGTAAAAATGGTTCATTAAATCTCTCTAAAGGACAACTTGCATCCATCAAGGCAAAATTCAGTCTCAGACAGAAATGTCTGACTGCCTTCAAGAGGTTGAAATGCAGTTTTAGCATTGCTAACATAAATTTTTAAGCATAAAAAAATACTGATTGATGACAACGCAGTAAAGAGAGTTTAAAGCTTACTTTGTATGATTTTCACCATCCGTTTTCAGTCGTATTTGTTCCTTTCCTGTTCTACTGTCCTTCTTCTTTGCATTGTCTTAAATCATTTTTAAAACAGATTTATTATTTAAAAAAAGGGAGGAAAGGTTATCCTTATAAGAGGTGACTGTAAAACCATGAAAGTGAACCTGAAGGATACTGCAGTATGTCCTGGGATAAAAAATGTCAATTCACAATCTATCATTTGTGTCGCTGGTGGTCTTTCTAATTTCCAGACAGCTTTTAATTCTTTTGTTTTCATACTTCACTTAAAAAATTATTTGCAAATATTTTATACAATAAAGGGAAATCTAGTTAACCCAAGAAAGACTATCTTTTCTTTCTCTCAACCAAGTTCACTGACGTCTATATGTTGTTGGAGTCTTACTAAGGAAAAAGCACCTTGAGCATGGGGCAAACGTCAAATCTAAGTCATGTCGAATAAATTAGAGATAGGTCCATGAAAGAGTCCACAAAATTCCAGCATGGTAGCAAAAGTCGAACCTTTGTTGATCCTCTTTCAAAAGTTGCACTTTGTTAAAACAAGGGAATAAGCAGGTGTCCCTGTGCTATACACTTGATGCACGGCTAGTTACTGCTAGGACTTTTTAGCAAAACATCAAAATACAGTGCCTTTGTTTGGCAATTAATTGCAAAAGATACAAAGAGAAGACTCGCAATTACATACAGCTCTGAGAACAGTGTATCAGAGATGACATATATTGCTCCAAGTAGCATGCTTGACCGTTCTTTTGTTAGCGGACAACAATGAAGAAGCGGTCTTGGGTCGGTCTTGCCACTGCTTCCAACATGCAATGTTGGTTGGTTTACCAACATATGGTCCACTTATAGTCAGGTTTCTTAGTGCCAAATATTGGCCGGATCGTTACAGACGTGACAAAAGTGTCAAATTTGGCACAGAGCTTCCTTAGCACCTACCGATTAATACTGGAGGGGGTGCCCGTTACAAATGGTCCTAATTACAGATAAAAGGGGGGGTCAACTTTCACCTATAATGCAGATTGGGTGCCTGTGGTGAGTACTCTTCTTGTTTGATTTGGCTAAAAAACATTTGTTGCAAATTTTTAAGTTTTTAATTTGGTAATGTTTAGTTGTTGTTACACTATTCAAAGTAGTTTTACATGTACATAATACTGACTAGTGCCCAGTCTCCACACGGTAAGTGTGGCCATGTTCATTGTGCGGACTGTGCGGCTATCAGTGTCACTGCTAAGACTTGCCAGTGNGAGCTCGGAATCCAGCTCTTCACTAAAAATAGATTATGGCCTGTCTTTTTTTTTACAGAAAATATAGTACGTTGTTCAGGCGTACTAAGAAAGAAAAAAAGAAAATTCATTCCTAAACCTGGCATGGTATACTTACTGTTGTTTCTTGCTCAATGGCTGTCACAATATGCCAGTTACTTTAGCAACGAGACAAACTAAAAGAGTTTCTTTAATGTGCACTGTCATTTTAGGTTAGTTATTGCATTTTTGCGATATCTTGTCCTAGTCCTCACCCAGCCACCCCAAAAATTGTACCCTGAACATTGTGTTTTTATTTCATTATTTTAATCTTGCCTGTTTACTATGTTACAAAAAAGTTTACATGCTTCTATTCTGCTCTTACCTTCAAGAAACCTTCCCTCATCAGTTTGACACACACACCTTTCTGTGCTGACCACATCAACTATTTGAACCTTTGCAAAGACATGGAGGAATCCTTGATTTTTTTCTGTATGGTTTTAACTCCAACTTCTTTTAAAATATTCAGAGTGATAATAATGGAAAATCCAAACCAATGGTATAATTTATTATAATATCAATTTTTATTATATAAACACCAATGAAATACCAGGTGAGCTTTCGCGCGAAAACATGATATCTTCACAAGTGAAAATCGCCGTTGCGATGGCTACGAAATAAATCGCGCCTATCGCAGGAAAAAACTGTTTCATTGAAATGGTTTGGTATTTCATTAAAATTTATATAATAAATAGAACATTACATGGCCGCTTGGAGATACAAAATTTCTCTTCTCGTGTTGAAAATATTTCACTCGTTCGCTGCGCTCACTCGTGAAATATTTTTCAACACTCAAAGAGAAATTTCGTATCTCCGCGCGGCCATGTAATATCCTCTATTTTTTAGTCGTTTTTACCTTTTTGTTGTAATATTTGCCTTTCTCATAATCCTTACTGATGATCCTCACCCTTGTTTGAGGAAATAACCAGCATTTGACTTTTTCCCTATGGTGGTCATTTGAGTTCCCAGATTTGCTCATAGAGCTATCCTTATCCTTCTTGGGATATTTGCTTCCCTCATGGTACCCTTCTCTACAAAGAAAGATGCCAGTCTTAAAGTACTCATGTGCCAATCCTTACCTTCTAACATTTCCACAAAGTTTCCAAAACCCTTTCAAAATTAATGTAAAAAAGTAGAACTACTTCAGTGTGTCGTGAGTACATTGGATCAAGGTTAGTCGTGCAGGGCTCCCCATAGTTCTCCATTCTACCAATAGAAGTTGGGTAAAAATGGTTCATTAAATCTCTCTAAAGGACAACTTGCATCCATCAAGACAAAATTCAGTCTCAGACAGAAATGTCTGACTGCCTTCAAGAGGTTGAAATGCAGTTTTAGCATTGCTAACATAAATTTTTAAGCATAAAAAAATACTGATTGATGACAACGCAGTAAAGAGAGTTTAAAGCTTACTTTGTATGATTTTCACCATCCGTTTTCAGTCGTATTTGTTCCTTTCCTGTTCTACTGTCCTTCTTCTTTGCATTGTCTTAAATCATTTTTAAAACAGATTTATTATTTAAAAAAAGGGAGGAAAGGTTATCCTTATAAGAGGTGACTGTAAAACCATGAAAGTGAACCTGAAGGATACTGCAGTATGTCCTGGGATAAAAAATGTCAATTCACAATCTATCATTTGTGTCGCTGGTGGTCTTTCTAATTTCCAGACAGCTTTTAATTCTTTTGTTTTCATACTTCACTTAAAAAATTATTTGCAAATATTTTATACAATAAAGGGAAATCTAGTTAACCCAAGAAAGACTATCTTTTCTTTCTCTCAACCAAGTTCACTGACGTCTATATGTTGTTGGAGTCTTACTAAGGAAAAAGCACCTTGAGCATGGGGCAAACGTCAAATCTAAGTCATGTCGAATAAATTAGAGATAGGTCCATGAAAGAGTCCACAAAATTCCAGCATGGTAGCAAAAGTCGAACCTTTGTTGATCCTCTTTCAAAAGTTGCACTTTGTTAAAACAAGGGAATAAGCAGGTGTCCCTGTGCTATACACTTGATGCACGGCTAGTTACTGCTAGGACTTTTTAGCAAAACATCAAAATACAGTGCCTTTGTTTGGCAATTAATTGCAAAAGATACAAAGAGAAGACTCGCAATTACATACAGCTCTGAGAACAGTGTATCAGAGATGACATATATTGCTCCAAGTAGCATGCTTGACCGTTCTTTTGTTAGCGGACAACAATGAAGAAGCGGTCTTGGGTCGGTCTTGCCACTGCTTCCAACATGCAATGTTGGTTGGTTTACCAACATATGGTCCACTTATAGTCAGGTTTCTTAGTGCCAAATATTGGCCGGATCGTTACAGACGTGACAAAAGTGTCAAATTTGGCACAGAGCTTCCTTAGCACCTACCGATTAATACTGGAGGGGGTGCCCGTTACAAATGGTCCTAATTACAGATAAAAGGGGGGGTCAACTTTCACCTATAATGCAGATTGGGTGCCTGTGGTGAGTACTCTTCTTGTTTGATTTGGCTAAAAAACATTTGTTGCAAATTTTTAAGTTTTTAATTTGGTAATGTTTAGTTGTTGTTACACTATTCAAAGTAGTTTTACATGTACATAATACTGACTAGTGCCCAGTCTCCACACGGTAAGTGTGGCCATGTTCATTGTGCGGACTGTGCGGCTATCAGTGTCACTGCTAAGACTTGCCAGTGATAATATCACTTCATATCAGTTTAAACAGATCACAAAGCCAGCTTTCAAAGATGTTATACAACAACATAAAACTCAAATGTATCACATCCTAAACGATAGAATCGTTAAGGCTTGACATGCCACATGAACGACCTCATGAACCGTAACTGACAACGCGCCCACTTTGTAATTGTGCAGCTAAGATTAGATTATAATTTGCTTCGTTGGTAACCCTGTCCTTGAGATAATGATTAAAACATGTCAACCTCGTCCTCAGGGGGAAAAGGAGGAGCAAGGGTGGCACAGTTGGTTAGTGCGCAGCCTTCGGGGCGAGAGGTCCCGAGTTCGAGCCCGGTGTCAACACCTCCTTATTTCAACTTCTCTTTTTTCTAGTAGCTTTGACTAGCTTTAAATACCCTTAAAACGGAGAATTAATGGAGAGAGGGTGGTAAAAGGAGCGCACCGTCGACCTCAAGTTTATCACTTATTATTACTGTCACGAGTTATTGACGTAAAATATGGTCGCTTTACCTTTTTCTACCTTTTTATTAAGCCCTGGGGACGAGGTTGTAAAACATGCCTCTCCAGGAATTTTTAACACTCTTTATTTTTTGCACATTTGCATTTAAAAAGAAGTGTATGAGGTCCCTGCATGCCTAGACACCTGTAAGCGGCTCATTCACTTCAGAGCCCTTGGATCAGAGTGTTAATGGTAGGTCTATACGATCTTTCAAAAAAAAGGAAGGTCGTCGCGTGCGTTACAATTTACAAACAAACTAACTTCAGAAGAGCTAAAATTTACAGGAACAAGGCCTCTTTTAGCCAACCAATGATGCATCATTCATGAAAATGAATGTCATTTGTTTGATGCAATTAGCTATAGGCGAATACCCCGTGGTTACGAAATCTTACGATCATGAATTCCTCAAGANACACAATCAACTTGTTATTTCATGTACCACACTCAGAATTTACTGGTCTTTTTCTTCCCATTTTTATAAAATCTTTACCTTTTCTTGATAGAAGTGTCTTGTATTCAAAGTCATCTAAGAGTCTTGCATTATATTGATGTATTGCAACATTCTAGAGGAAACAACAAGTTTAAAACTTGTAAGGAAAAAATGTTGTATTTAATAAGAAAACATCAAGCAGTAATGTTATTGGACTGCAGAGAAGAGATGAAAGTGGACCGAACATGTATTTCAAACAAAAGTAACATACCAAGGAATTCTTGGTATCAGATGCTTTTAGTTTTCCAATATCTCTCAAAAAAGGACTTCTTTTACATGAAGCATACAATAAGATTCACTCCAACTACGACAACTTTCAATTTTTTTGGCATTGATTGCAGGACATGTATCAAAGATCCTTATTTCAGTAACCATCTATTACTAACAATACAATTCCCAAAAGAAATAAATTATTAAAAAACTTTGTACTGGATTGAACCCTTTTGATTGTATTATGTGTGTAATAACTGTAGACACAAGGTACATTTACAGCAATCAATGCAATACTATTTCATCATAACATGCATTCCTTCTCTCAAACCTCTTTACTAAGATGGAGTTGAACAGTAATTCTTGAAGTATCTATGTCTACAGCCACTATCTGTGAAAAAAAAAACACACCTCTCACTAGTCAAAATGCCAGATGGAATAAATTTATCAACATGGGACTGGCAACAATGAGTTCACTTGGAGAAGATACTTACTTTTCCACATATATTCTTGTGAGGTCCTTTTTCAATAATCACTGCTACTCCAGGTCTATAATCTAAAATAAAATTCACTATCACTCAAAAAGATCTCTTTATAATAACTTTTCCCTGTTTTCTGGCTCTGTTGACAGAATGGGAGAATATTTCAATAAGAACAAAGTTAAACCTAGCTGGATTTACCCAATGATGTTTCTAGTTGGACTTGCTCTCCTACACCTTTATAGTGTCTAACCCGACCACTTTCTTCCTTGATAGGGCCTGACATCTGCAAACAGAAAACAAAATAAGATTAATTCACACAATAACTAACCACACCCTTTGCACAGAAAATATTAATACAAACAGCATTGTTAATAATAATATAAATAATAATAATAATAATAATTAAGAATTTACATTGTACAGTTTTCATGACGAGATGATCAACTGCACATTACAACAATACATAGAATAAAAATAACTAAATGATAAATAAGAATTACATCATGTGTTGTGTATAATATCAAAAAACCTAACTAAGAATAAAAAGCCTTACTAAAAGGTATGTCTTTAAAAGTTTTGCTAAACATAAATAAAAATTACATAGTTGTGTATAGGTATTAAGCAAACCTAACTAAGAATGAAAAGCCTTACTAAACAGATGCGTCCTTAAAAATGTTTCAAAAGTGTCAACAGATTTGGCCATTCCCTAAAGGACGAACCTCAATAAGCTTTGAAGAAAAAAAATCTTAAATCCTTGACCTTACATTGCTTGAAGCTGTGTCGCCTGGTTTTCGTTTCTTTCCAAGTCTATTTTCATCTGCAGGTGGTCTCCTTTCTGCTCCTAAACCCAATCCCTTGGATCTTGGAATGTACTCTATTGGCTCTGCAAGGCTAAAGAATACAATCTGATTGGAAAACAGAGAACTTCTCTCGGACTGAGGTGTTCAAGCACCTGGGAAAGTTAACTAACATATGAGAAAGAGTAGGGTTGCAACGATGCAACTATGAGCCATGATATTCCTTTGGTTCCCACAATAAGAATACTGAGAGCAAACCAAGACATTGGCAATGTCTTGATACATTACACTGTAAATATGTTACAACTGCAAGTACTTTGTGAAATCACTATAGCCCAGCTTATGATGACGCTTTGTATGCTTCCTACCTTATTATGAAAGAGGAAGTTTCATTTCCTCCAGGGACTCACACAGTTTGGTGGCAAAACATGTCACGTTTTCACCCAATTAGAACATGTTTTTTGGTCATGTGTACACGCTTAGATGCAACTGAGGGTATTATCTCATGTAAAATTACTAATGAATTGTCAAGTGAACCAACAACATCTCCAAAAAACACAACAACAATAGGAATATTGTCATACCCTTTGTTGGTTCCTCCAATGGCTTCTCCTTTTTTCCATCCCATTCCTCGCAACATGGCTGCACCAAATGATGTCACAGGCATATCTTGATAGTCTTCCATTGAGCTCTAAGTATTAACTCATGGCATTATTCTTCGTTGTTGTGAAAAGGTTGAATAATGTAAATGCAGACAACTTTTTAGCATGTTTCACATCAGATAAGACACCACCTTATGGATTACAGTGCAAGACCTTATCATGAGCTGCATTAGCTGGGAAAAGCATTGGCAGAGATGCAAGTTACTTTTGAGAATAAAAACAACAGCTGTACTGCTCATATCCCTGGCTAACTCACCTGATCTGGCCTCATTGCAATATCCAGCTTTTCATCCTTATCAAATCCCTCAACATCAGGCAAAGCATTTCTCAAAAGCAGTGGAATTGAAACATTCTCATTTTCAGTGTCTGCTTTATCACCTTCTGAAATATCTTTGAAACAAAAAAATTTAAAACAAATAACACTGTATCAGCCACAAAATGTGAGGCAATTACTGAAAAATAATCTTGAGACCTGGCTTGAGGTTATTCCCATCAAGTAATCCTTCACTTTGCCGCAGTCTGCCATCCCTGAGTCTATTTAAGCCAGTAAAATGAACTTCATTAGAAGGCAAAAAGAAGGTACAGGAATCCCCCACCTGTAAAGGTGTTAGTTCATAAAGCTCACCTTTCATCAACTCCTCAGCCGCCTGCCTGTCTAAACTGTTGGAAAATTTAGAATCAGGAGGTAGAATCCAACGATTCTTAGCAAGACAAGGAATCACTTTTTCTTTCTGCTTATTTTCTCCTTTAACACTGGAAACAGAAAAAGATAAACTTAATTATTTTCATTCATGAAAAAATAATTACTGTGAGTGCAACTCACAAGCAGGACTTTTGTACAAAGAAAGCCTGTTACAAACAGCTTACAGGGAAATGAGGCAAATAAGGAGTTTGCCCTGTGGCAGTCCCAGGGGGAAGTGGGCACTCCCTTAAACTTACTATGGGGGTGTACCACTGAGTCTTTGAGACTGTGGACAGACAAAAAGAGATGAATTTGCAACAGTTACAAAAATAGGAATCCTTTTCCTATGACTGGCTCAGTTGTACAACAAGGAGGAAAGGGCAAATTTTGCACCTAAGCTTGATTGAGAATAATTAGGAATTGTGCAGGAAAATCAACCATGCTCTAGAGTCAAATGAAGTAAAATATAGCTCTCTTCCAGAGATAAAGGGTGATTTTTATGTCCTGTTCATGAGTAAGAGAGGCAAAAGCATACCCTCTTTAGCAGCATATACTTGTATAGCCCTTAAAGGAGTACCTCCCCTGATCTGAGCTGGCAGTAAAGTGAAAAACAGTTACAAGCAGATGAGGTATACATTATTAGTTATTACGTTGACACAATAAGTATTTATTTAAACCAGTTCTCACATTTGTCAGGCAGAGCATCTAGTAAAAAAGAAAATGCAGCACATCAACACTACTTTTTTGTGATACCTTTGGAATATCTGAATTAATGTCAATTTATTGTTCAGTTAATAAGCTAAAAGGATTTAGTTTTAACCTACCTTCTGAGTCATAATTCTATACAACGTCGTTACGTTAACACTAAAACCCAGTCCAAACCAATCAATTAAACTGCCATGCTACAAGCAACGGAAATATACCTCTTTAACTCTTTTTCCTCGGCGGAATGGATGTAATCTTTTTCATCATCTTTCACTTTATCTTCATCAATACTAAGAGCATTCTTTTCAGAGCTGTAAGACTTAATAGCAGGCTTCCTCTTAGAAAAAGAAAAAGAAACGCCACTTCTACGTTCTTCCGCCATAATGTTGTATCTACTTTCTTTTCGTGCCAGTCCTCCTCGATAACTTGGGATTAGTGCCAGTCTCTTACCAAATTTGCACATGGTGCACTTGTAAAATTTGTTGGTGTCAAGATAGCCGGCTTGAAAAGCTAAAATTATGTCATATTGTAGGGAAGAAGGTAATTTCAAATTCTTTTATTCCCATTTGTCGCATTTATGTCTTTTTCCTAACCTAGTTTTCCAATCACAGGTAAGGACAAACTGATCTTCGTAACCGAAGAGGACCATTCTACTCCAAGTACAGTGATACTTGGAGAAGAAGAAGATGATGAAATGGAAGGTTTGATCAAAGCGAACGGCGAAATAAACTGGGATTGTCCTTGTTTACAAGGAATGGCTTACGGTCCTTGTGGACAACAATTTAAGGCGGCGTTTTCTTGTTTTCATTATAGCGAAGCGGATCCCAAAGGATCGGACTGTATTCCTCAGTTCCGTGACATGCAAGAATGTTTCGTTAAATACCCTGAAATTTACGGAAAAGATGACGATCTAGCTCTTGATGGCGACGAAGAATCGAAGGACGATCTGTTAGAAAATTCAATGGCCACTACCAATGGAACGGAAACTAAAGAATTGTTTGAACCAAGGGATAGTTTACAGAGTGACTTAGAAGGTGCTGCAGTTGAACCCATACAGATTACAGAGAACAGCTCCAATGCAGAAAAGCCAACTTTGAGTTGACCATTTCTGTGACGTCACATGTCTTTTTTGTTGCGTACTTTTGTGTGTGAATATATTTAATATGGATGTGTTACATTGTTATCTTTCCTTTTTTTACTGGAAAAATAATATTATTCTTTATACAGTTTGGTTTTATGGTAACACTTCACATAATAAAGATTCAATAAAACTGTATTCCTACATATTTCATTAGGCCTTGAAATTTGATGGTTTATTTTGTTTCCTTTCTGGTAAGAAGAGATGATCTCAGGTTAACACAAACCAGAAGAACCTTGTATAGCCTGTTCGCCTGTAAATAGAGTTGTCTCTTCTCACTCCTCGCTGCAAGAGATATTTTGTGGGAGAGATGTTTGCATCTCAACAACAGAGATGCCACACAGCTGATGACATGAACTCTGTCCAGAATCTGGTCAGAAGCTCTGATTGGCCAACAAATAAAAAAGGTCACAAAAATCAAATGTAAACACAATGAATCTACTGAAGTTGGAATGTATTCTTCGCAAGAAGGAGCATTTGAGTTTTGCGGCCTCTCATTCACGGAGGAGCTCAAAACTTAATGATAATGTAACAGACCAGGAGAAACATATGACAAATTTACATCTGTATCCCCATGAATACCAGATTATGTAAACATTGATTTACATCATCAGTATGGCATCTCTGTCATAATTGAGGTGCAGATGTCTCTCATGTGAAATGTCCCAACTGGGACTTCAAGAGGCCCCATGACAAACCCCATGGATGTTTATATTCTAAAAAATAAGGTAGGTTTTGGAGAGTCTCACCAAAAGGTCACCTGTCAATAATATTTTAATTGAACGTTTTTTTGTTGCTATGGGAAAAATCACATGGCATGTACCAGAATAAGCTTCAGTCACATAGCTGATTCAAAAATAGCAATTATTATAATTTTCCTCTTCAGTAAAACACTGTTCAGTACATTCACACAGAAATATAGCTATGGTATCATATAACCTTATTTAATCATTATTTTCATCATTTGTGTTTTTGTGGACTTAATATTAAGCTAAAAACCCATGATGTGGCCAGATTTTCTTTTTACTATCTTTGATTTCTTTGGTGAGTTTCCCAGAGGTTTCAATCGTGATGATGAGGCCACACCCTGCATAGAAGGTGAATAATTAACTTCACCATCACTGGGTTCCCAGTGCATTTGCCTAGGCCTAGCTGGTGGAATCACCTCAGATGTCGCTGTATCCTGTGAAGGCAGATCATCACGTTTTGTCTTTATGCCAATATTATCAATCTGATTTGCTGCTTGTTGTTCGCTAGATGAGAATGCTGCAGGAACCTGATGCTTTATAGAATCTTGTTTTGAGGTATCCAGTGAAGCTGATTTATTGCTGTAGGTATTTTTGAGAATTTGTTGACCGACATGTGCACTTATTGGCTCCTCGTCACTGAACACTGGTATTGGTTCATCACTGTTCCAGTTCAACCAGAGACTTTTACTAAGAGGATCAGTTGCCTTGCTGAAATCTAGAGAAATCGGAAGGTCTTTCACTTCATGATGAATGGACAAACTGCTCTTTGTAAGGACTGTTCTGTTTTTCTGACCCTCCACTAGCTTAGAACTATAATTTGTATCCAAATTGCACCTTCTACAGATAGTCAATTCACCTGTTTCTTGCTCCTTTTCAAAGCTGCTCTTAGTTTGCCCACCATTGCACAATGCACAGTTTGAATGAGCCTTTGGTAACAATAACAAATCCTGACAGAATCTCTTTTTATCGATCTCTACATAATCCACTTGAAATGTGACAGGTTCTACTGAAACACTTTCCTGGTTTTCTATCATTTCTACCCACTTGTGACACAAAATCTGAGCCTCTTTTCCAAGTTCTTTTCTCCTTTGCTCACTGCTGTCTGTAATCCAAGGATATTTTTCAGAATCACTACATTCCTGAGAGATAAATTGCTGGTAAAATAAGTCACCTGCTTCAGTCATTTGAAACACAGTGAAACCCTTTTGGGGGTGGAAGGTGTGCGGCATGGTGCAGACACCAATAAGAGGTTGAGACAGTCGTGAAGCAATAATTGGTGAGTAAGTGAGCTGGTCACTGCAAAGGCCAGTATAATGCCATTCATTACAAGGTGACACCTAAAAACAAAAACACATGTCAGACTGATTAGTCAAGGTTAAGACAACATGTGACATAAAACACTTGTGAGGAGTAGAGTTCTAAATAGAATACACCAGTTTTAAATTCTTAAAATTCATACTTGGCTCTGAGCCTGTGGGGAATAAAACAAAAGAAATTATTCAAGTCTGTATGTCAATGTTATTACTTTAATTTTATCCCCTCAGCCTCTGAGCCAATTATTAATTAAGCTTATTGTTTGGAAGGACATTTGGAGGGAATCATTCTTGCAAGGCATTTGATATTAAAACTAAATTGGAGAACTACCCTCAACTGGTGACAAAATCACTACGCACTTTCAAGGTGCAGAACATCAAATTTGTGAATCATTACCATCATCAAATTCAATGTAGAGCTTGTATGTCTTTGAGTAAAGGTCTATCACATGTGAAGACTATCATATGAACAGTAACCACTTTGGAGACTGAAATTACAAGAAACTGACTTGAGGACTTGTAACACAATATAACTGACAGAATGCGTAATCTCCAACCCCACACCCACCCCCTTGTTTCACAGACAGTTTGGCAAGAGAATCTTGTTGTTAATATTAAATCACCTGGGTAATGTGTTCAGAAAACCCTTTATGTATTCTTCATGGCCTTATAACTTAGTTTACCTTCCATGGTGAGGATACTGATTGCGGTGGTAGGTATTTAGAAGCTGTTACAGGCAACCTGGTCACTTGGCTACAATCAGAGTACTGGAAGCAGTGTGTCTGTCCATGACGTGAGCCAGATATCATCACAACTGAATCATCACAATGTGGAATTGCATCATAAGTAACACTGATGAACTGAATGGGGTCGTCATTATGATGCCTCCACGTAAGAACTGGATGTTGAAGAAACCGATCATCTAGTATCATGAGTGATTGATCTGTGGCCAGCACATAATGATGTAGATTTTTAGGGTGACGCTGAATTGCAGAAACACGTTCAAAAGAATCCACTTGATCCGATGGGATGGAAAAGAAAAACCTTTTAAATAATGAGTCTGCCTGTGGAAAAAAGATATTGTAAAACCACTCTAGATAATAATATTGAAGATCTTTCTTTCCACTAAAACAATGATTCTGAATCTAATTTAGAATTATTATTAGTGTTGCTTTTCTGGGTCCAAACATTGTCAGGAATAAAATGCAAAACTGTATGTCTGCTTATGAAGTATTTTTCCAAATATTTTAAACAAAAGGAAACCAACACCATATTTGCTTGGCTTACAAAACTGTATGTCCAGAAAACTTACATTACACTACATAAGAGTTAATTAAAGCAAAATGTACACCACACATGTAACGTGGACATGCTTTATTACCCAAATTACTAAATTGTTAGCACCCCCCCCCCCAAAAAAAATTTTTTTTTTTTTGGGGGGGGTTGCTAACTTAAGTGGTAGTAAAGAAGTTCAGGTGCCCTTAAAAGGCCCAACTTTCTTGTTGATGTCTACGTTATCTATATTACTCATTAATAGTTTAGTCATTTATGTCTTAACTTACCCTGAAATCTAGCAAATCCATCCCTTTAACATCAGCCATTGCAATGCAGCGAGGATTATCGGCAAAAACACATTGGAACCACGGAGAATCTTGGCTACCTTCATACTGGTTACACACCATTCTCAGAGCATGGTCACATGTCCAAATGTATGCTTGACCCATTTCGTTCACAATGACACTTTCGCCTGGAATATACGGGCTGACAGCAATGCACATTGCTTGTTTAGTAAGGGCTACAGTCTCAAGAAGCTTTAGAGGTGGCTTAAGAGGAAAGAAAAAGGGGCAAATGTTACTGTTTGCTCCTCATTTGTACACACCACAAGGTTTTTTTCCCCTGATGCATCCAATTTTTATCCTTGCTAACACTTTGCTAATTTCAGTTAACTAAAGGAGACAGCAATAACCTATGGTTCCCAATGTTAAAGGTACCTTACTGTCACATCCTCTGGTACCAAACTTGCTTACCAATTTTTTCCTACAAACCTTCAATGAATAGTTGGCAAACAGTAATTTCTTCCATTCTCTTGAGGAGAAACTGTCAGACTACAAAAGTATAGCACTTCTATGTAAGTCTTTGGTGACAAGTTGACCACAATTTCTTTGGCAGTGCAAAATTTTGTTTTAAAAAAACTTTTAGGAAAGCTAGTCATCAACTTAGCCTGCGCCATAGACATAACTAAACTTCTGTTTAAGTCCATCTGTGAAACAGTCCCGAAATCCTTGTTCTGGTCCCCCAGCTGTGTACAGGTTTTAATATATGCCACAATTGGTCTTTTGAAAATGCCATTGTTGATTTGCCAGTAAGATTGAAGGGAAGTAGGGAACACATTTCCTGTAATTTGTTAAGTCCATTGAGAACCCAGAACAAGGATATCGTTACTGCTTCCCAGACATTACTAACTGCAGTCAGATTACGTCTGTGACACAGGCTATCATCAACTTTGTGATTCATGTTTACTACCACTTACAGAATTGTCTTTATTAGAGATGGAAGGGCAACCTTGAAAGAATGCACAGTTGTACTGTGATCTGATTCCAGTGACAACATTCTTCTGGGAATAAGAGGAAAAGTCAATTTGTCGTATTTGACCATGAATGGCAAACTGTTGCTTTGAGAGCAATGGACGAAAATGAGTGTTTTGTTCAGTTGAACAAGGCACATGTGTAAAGTTTAAAACGTCCAGGCCAGGGCCACTTGGAAATAAAAGAAGGGCTTGTTGTTCTGTGTCCAGAGCGTAACAAGACAAGCTATTGCCCAGAAAGGTGTCAAAATGTAATCTGCAAGTGTCGAGGGCGTTACTTTCTTGGAGCAAATTCTCTAGTAACCTCGGCGAAATGTCTGGTAAAGTCGTTCCTAATTGTCTCAACATTTGCCCAGGATTGCTCTCCTTGTTCAAAGAAGCGTAACGAATTTTCGAGCAGAGTTTACAACAATCCTCTCTGCGCTTCCAAGGAAAATAAAAGTCCAGCTTGTTCTTATTGTTTAAACAAGTGCTAAACGGTGGGCGATTCATTTCCTCTTTAAACAGATCAGCAGCAGTTCCATACATGATATCAGGATGATCAGCTGAAAAAGTATCCACGAGGACTGAATATGCCTCAAAATTTAGCTCTTTTCTACGCAGAGAGCTGCTTAAATGAAAATCCGCCAATGAATGCTGGAATAGACAAGGCTTTGGATTTGGCTCCAGAAAAGGCAAGCTGTAGGGCTGCCTCGAGACAAGTCGTTGTCGTTGGTATCGCGAATCATGCGACTGTTTTGAATGTACAACCAGCCTTTGACCCTGGCTATCCAAATCTATATTTAATACCGAGGTGCTACCGTAATCAATGGAAGACTGTGACGTATTCATTTGCCCGGAGAATGGAAAGTTATAATGCTGCCAAGAAGAGCTGGGGTTGGCCGCCATTTTGTTTCCCAAGCTTCTCGAAAAGCCGAGACGAACTGGTACCTAAACACGGCACCAGGTCACGCAAGCTGGATTCAACTCACGGGAATTCGTCTTTGCGGAGGCGTCTGGCAAGAAAAAGATGGCGGAATAAACTTTATATTTTTCCCTTCCATATGGGAAGAGAACAAAGTTTTACTCATATTCCATGAATGAAGAAAAAAGGAAGACAGCATGCGGGGAAGAGGAGAGTGTTTGTGGCAGCCAAAGTGGTAGAAGCGAATCGACACATACTGGAGGCAAAATAAAGGATGAGAAAACAACAGATCCTAAGAGCTCAACCACTTCAGATAATGAATTTTCTGCAAACGCAGAGGGAAGTGAAAGGTATTTTATACTTGCTAACTGTTATGCTCTTAAATCATGTTAAGCACACTGTAAGTTACAGCAAGGCACTGCAGATATAAGCTTACATGTTTCTTACTTTACATACATGATCATTGGATCCTTTTGCTGCTTTTCTGTTTCGTGGATAAAAAAGAATATGATTTCATCTTGCCACAGTTTAACACCCCATTTTAAAATCGTTTGTCATTTGAAATTATTATTGTACAATTTAAAACCGTCACGTTCAGGGTGCATGTAAATGAGCTCTCAAAAAACTACATACAATTTTATGTTAGGGAGTCTAAGTGGTTCGTTTGCTATTGAATCTCATTTTGTTTCCATATAATAAACTGAGACTTAGTTGAGTTCTATCCAAAACGTTCACTATAAATAGCACTGCATAATATTTTGAAGTGCATTGAAATGCAAGGGATTAAGGGTTTACGAAAAATTGAGTGATTAAACAGCAACAGCTGTGCAGTTAAAAAAATTACTGTCAAGAAGAATTAAAAATAAAATAATGCATGGTTCAATTTGACTTGTTACCATGCCCCCCAGGCATACCCCCAGGGAGTGGCAATTTTTTTCTGTTCTGATCAACCTCATATACCCGTTTTTTTGGGGGGGTACATCTTATATGCTGAGAGAATACATGTGAAATGTAGTCAGAACGTGAACAAAACTCTTAAGGACCTTTTTTGACCTTGATAGAACACCTCATGAGAATGCTGGATTGAATCTTTGTCTATCATAGATATGTCAAATGCCTTGTATATATTTTTATTTACAGTCTATTGAAGTTGTCTTATTATTAAACTAGGCTGAAGAAATATTCCTTTGTTTGATTTGCCAAAAAAAATACATTTAAATATGCATCATACACACATTTGTTTGGTATTTCAAAACATCCCTTCAAATACAGACTTAAGTTATGAAAGGCTTTTCCTCTTCAACCACTCTCCAACAAATTCCTACACTTTCTGTTGAAAATACTTAACCTGAGTTCCACAGCTCCGTGCAAACCAGGTGAGAAACAACACATACTTCACAAAATCAAAGAGAAGTTGATTTTTATTTACCCCGTCCCCTACCTGCATGACAGGACCACTTCAAATAATTCCCCACTCCGGGACACAAAGTGCTGGACTTGTCCCGGGGGATTGATTGGGGAAGGATGGAAGGATGGTAACAGATCAGATTGAACCATGTAAAAAATGTTAACCCTATGAATCAACCATGTACACATGCAAAACAAAACCATTGATGCACAGATAAGTTTAGTGTTATATACACCTCTTGTTCTCATACTTTTTTTTGACAGGAGAATAAATTGAGGGCCAGAGAATAAATTTAATAATAAGCTTTCGTCTTGTTAAGACTCCCATTTTCACTTAACCGAATGCTGTCTTCATTCCTTTTGTATTTATTTTTAATTAGTAACAAAGGGGAAATGATAGCTACTGAAGACAAGCAAGAAAAAGCTGAGGTAAGATTTAATTCAAAATAATTCTACAAATTTTTAATTAAATTTTGTCAAAACACTACAATTTTTTTAGTTTTTTCTTTATATTTAATTATGTATTTTGTACAGATAGAACATCAACTTACTTCAGAAAATCAAATCAGGAGATTATTAATTTTGTACACGTTACAAAGTTATGTACTTTTTTATTGCTGAAATAAATGTATTTTCACAACCTGTACGTATGACGTACTTCTGAGGTGCAAATATTTAAAGTTCAATCTGCAAATCATGACTGTATAACTACAATAATTTTCCAGGTAGAGAATGATAATGGTGGTAACAAAGCAAAGGAAGAGCCAGGTGATGAAGAAGAACTGAGGAAAGAAGAAGAAGAAGTGGTAAACTTTTATCATAAACAACATTTAAATGTCTTAATTGGAGCAGCAATCTTGTTGGAACAGCAAACTTATAGTTTTGATTTTGAAAAAAATCCTTGCTGTATATTGCTTATAAGATGACCACGAAGAAGAAAAACGTGTTTAGAAAAGGATTTATATATAAGTAAGACCAATAGTGTGAACTCTAGATCAAGACATGTGAGGGCTGTTGCTAAGATTTCAATTTGCCGGGTAAATACAACAAGTAGGTGGGCAATTAAACAGCTAGAGATTTCTTTTGGTTCTATTTTTCTTCTATTTTCCTTTCAAAGTAGCTGGTGGCCACATTCTTAGTTGCCGGGGGAAATCCCTGGCCACCGCCTCTCTATGTCAGCCCTGACATGTGATTAGAGTGGCACTGACCTTAGTGTTAGTCGGGTTGTTCACAGGGAATTTTTCTTGTAAAAATTGTTATATTAAACTGCTCTCTTAATTGTTGTAGCAACAAGCTTTGGAGGATGCAAAAGACCAGCTTGAACAGAAGCTTGCAGTTAGAGAAAAAAATTTGAAAGCTGTAGGTTAGTAACATTTCTCAGCATTCCACTTGATGTAGGGTTTAAAACTAAACTAGTTGTCTTTTTGCAGGCCAGCGGCCTGAAGAATCTTTTTTTAAAGGACGTGACTCATCTGTCAAGAAGAACTCTGCATTCATCAAAAAATTGGTAAGTATACTTCTTTGGTGTGTTTGTTTGAAAAAACTAACAGATAGTTAAATTATTTATCTATAAACCTGCTCTAAGCACTAACAAAATATGTTAGGAGCCAATAGAGTATTTGAAACTGCATGAGCACTTGATATTTTTTATGCTACTGTTATATTATTTTTAGAGGACCATCACAGAATCCCAGCGTGAATCATTAGAGCAGGAGTTTACTGGTTTGAATCTGTCAAGATATGTTCCAGAAGCTGTAAGTAGTATAGGAAGCACCTCACCTGTTCAGTCCTACAAAAAACATTAATCTCATCATCAACAACTTTTCAGTACATCAAGGTTTTTAGTAGTGGAGTATTATTTTAATGTTACAATCAACTGCAGGCTTCATTTATTGAGGGTGGTGGTGTTGTTGTTTTACAGGTTGCTGCGGTACTAGATGGTCTGCCAAAGCTGAAGGTACTTTTTTACCTAGGAATAAACCACTAAAAACTATGGTGTTAACATTGTACAGAGTATTATTACTTGGGTCGTTTTATTTTCAAAGATAAATGACCAAAATGCCTGTAAATAGATGTCTGTTTAAAGATCAGTGCCTTTTAAGTTCTGCCTGAACCACAGCAGCACGCTCTTATTTACAACTTTGCTGGAGTTCACTTTGCTTTGAGTCAAGTGAATTTTATTTTTACTATTATTTGAGTAAGGTACTTTATCTGACAGCTTGCAGATGTGAAATGTGTGGCTCATATTTGTGGTTTGATAAATCAACACTATGCTGACTTTAATGAGCCTTTAAAGAAGGGACTTGTGAAGATGTTTGATTCCTATGGTGGCAAGGAAGAGGACAAGGTTTGTTTCATTAACACACAAACAATACTTTTTCCCATAGTAAATTATAGTCTGAAATTTTTTATATTTACTTTTGCACAAAAGTAGGTTAGGTAAGCAACTTTGTTCCAATTGTATAATTCTCAGTGCTCGCAATAACTGATGTTTGCATTGTAGAATCATCTGTCATAAAATCTTAGACAATGTACACTAGTTATAGATCAAATTGTGGCATACAGTCAAATCTTTCTCCTTTTCTCATACTCAACTTGGAGCCATGCCAAGCCAACCATGTAGCCGGATTTTTAATATGAACACCACAAATTACAGCGCAAAAAGAGAGCTAACAAAAAGACTAAGACTAGATACAAGAATAATCAGAACTAAGGCACTCTTTTAAATCCTAAAAATAAAAACAATAAGCCAAAAAACACTCAAAGGGTGGGTGGATGGGGAAGGTCAGGCCATAGTGGATAGCAACGAAAAGAACTGAACTCTGACAGGGGCATAGCCAGCTTTTCGACTATAGTTGTAGGCCTGGCTAACTTTCGTTTCCAAATATCCTGAAAACTGCACACATGACTAGTACGCACAGACCTCACCAACAGTTTGAGCTCTTAAGCTTTTTAACTCACCCCAACAACATATAATTTATTACAAACAGTAGAGTGATCAAACCAAAAATTTGTAGGCCCAGGCCTACAGGTCTATGGGCAGGCTACGCCCCTGTCTGAAATGCCTTGTGACATGAAAACCCCACACACGCCCAAACCCATACTCCCAGCAGTGTGAGAAAAAAACGTTTTTCTCTTCTTTCATTCTTCAGCAAGAGAAGAACCACACTTTTTATTGACTTTTTACCTTAACCACAGATAGCAAATGTGGGCAAGTACCGTGTCACCTTAAGACTTCTAGGAGAGCTCATCATTGCTGGAATTTTTCCCAAGCTATCAGAGGGCATTAAAATACTCAATACCATCCTGAGTAACCTACTGAACTGTGACAAGGAAAACCATGTTTATGTTCAAGTGATTATCAGCTTTGCTCGTCACTGTGGTGAGGACTTTGCTGGTTTCACATCTCGGAAGCAAAGGCTGCTAGCTGAGAAGCATGGAGTGACATTTCCAAAGTGTTGCATTGTATCTGCTGATGATCAAGCTGCCTTGTATCTACTATTGCACACATACTACAAGTCACTGGCAAGCCACTTAGTTAAAGCACACAAGGATCTTCAGAATAGAGAGAAGCAAAACAGGCAAACATTAATGGTACAGCTTATAATACTACTATTACTCTCTGCTATGCATTATGTAACTTAACAGGTTGAAGGAATGATGACAGGCTGCAAGGCTGTAGTTGGTGATTTTTCGTTCCGTTTACCTTCACTAAAATACTTGCCACCATGTTAGTGACTCAATATTTGAAAAGACTGAATGGTTCATTCAGAGCAGGAGCCATAGGTAGGGGAGAGAAATAACCAACAATATCATTAATATCATTGTTATTTTGTGGGATGATTTTATTTTCTGACAGACCAAAGGTGAATTACACCCTGAGAGGAAGGAAGCATTTGAGAAGGCACAGAAGGCTTATGAAAAACTACTAGGCAACACAGCTTCTTTAGCTGTAAGTAAACAATCAATCCTCAAGGCAATATTTTTAATAGAATAATGCATTTTAATGTTTACCATAAATGCCATAACGATTATGGTCTTTTAATGGGCTTTTGTTAATTGCAGGACATACTTGATGTAGATATGCCTGATTTGCCAGTATCTGGTATGTAGTTTAAAGTACTTGACACCTGTTGATTCTATGACTGATCTTGGGTCCAGTGTTTTTATTGTCACATTTTTTCCTTTTGAATGTTTTTTAATCCTGTTTGACAGCCATGTTTTTTTCCTTTTTACTCTAACATGTACACTAATCCATTCAATCTATTCTCTAAATTTTTAACTGCCTTAAAATTAAAAAGGTGGCACTCAGTAGTGTTTTTGGGCTGTTAGTAGTATTTTAAGGATAGTCAATGCTATGTATGTGCTTCATATCATAGAGATTGTTCAAGAAGATGCTGGATCTAACTCTATTGATGTTTTCAACCCATTCAAACATTCAGAGGTAAGATGCATAAGTTTGATAACATATTCTACGTGTAACCACAAATGTGTTCTTAATGATTTTTGGCAATGAGGGAAATCTTGCAATAAAGATGAAAATTCTGATTGTTCTGAGAGTTCTAATATTCTTGTTTATCATTTTAATAAAGCCTCAGAGGAACTTTGAAAAGGAATTCAAAATTACTAGTCAAGTTCAATCATTTGTCATTTAAGTTGTATTAAAGTACTCTTTTGTGCTGTTTAATCAACAATTGATTAACTCTTTTTGTTTAGTATGATGGTAGCACTGGACTTTGGGAAGATGAAGAAACGCGAGTCTTTTATGAAAACATCAGAGATCTCAAAGCTTTTCTACCAGGGGTAATTTTTGATTATCTAGTAATGAGCTGTTGAATGTTTAATGTTCTGAGGCAATCCTTTTTTGTGAACCAAGAAAAGTAAAAGCATATAATGTGCTGTGTGCGCTTTAGTGAGTATACATGTACAGCTGTTGCTAATTTTGCCAGTCTTCACAAGCATGTCAGAAGTAAGTTGTTAACATTGGCTGCCAGACTGGCCGGTTATAATGTTAACTAGCATACACAATTTTCAAACAGTAGCCAGTCCAATGTACTTCTGTCTAGCTGTAAACATGCATAAGGGACATTCTCTCTGTTTTTCCTGATAATTTGTTACCAGATTTTGTACAAAGATGAATGGAAGGAAGAGGGAGAAGTTGCAAGTAATGCTGAGAGTGATGAGAAGATGTCAGACAAGTTGGAAAGTATGTTGTCAAGTGCAAATTGAAAACAACTGATATATAAACTTAATAAAATAAATCAGCTATACCATGCTGTATTTCCAGACAATCAGTTGGGTAGCACTATATGCTGGGTAAATACCTACATTCCAGTGTATGGTAGGAAAAGCTTAATTTTGTTAGCCACTGGATAGAGAATTATCCAGTGGGTATTATGTTACTGAGCCTGATATACATGTAGTATAATAAGTACTTAATTTTGTCCCCAGTTAGGTATTGTTATTAATTTTACTCTACTCATCAAAACTGGAAAGTGAGCATTGGCTGATGGTCAGGTGTTTAACATTTTTCATTGTTCAGTTGCAGAGGAGGATTATGAAGAAATGGATGATTATTTTGGTGATGAGGAATACAATGAGAAGGAAAGTGAAGAAGGTACTGATTACTGTATGATTGGGAATATTAATTTGAACAAAAAATTATTCAAATAATCATTTATAATGAGTGTCTTTTACACATTGCATTAATCAATGGCAAGGGCTTGAATCACTTTTGAGGACATAAATCGTGCTTTCCAAAGTTGTTTGCTTTACTTTAAGTGACCTTGTACTAGTAAAGGAAGCTAGGTCTTTAGGAAACAGTGGTTGTTAATAAAGCAAAGGAGTCTTTTGAGTAATTTGCCGTTATCTGCCCTTTGATCATTTGACTACTTGTTCATCTATTTGATGCACAGTGATGCATTAGTGGTGGTTTTTAAATGACTCCTTTCAAAGCTTTTTGAAACTTTGCTGTTGAGGTGGTTGCGTGAGCTTAAAAGCTTACAAAGTGACCTACTAAGCTAGTCAGTCTAGGGCAACAGAATCTACAAGAATGTTGAATATTTTCATTGTGGTTAATTTGAGAGCGTCGAAAGTCCTCTCGGTTTGTATTATGCAGTTTTTGGGGCAAAGAAAGTCTAAAAGTATCAAATCAACATGACCATAATATAGAATATTTCCTCCCTCTCTTGTAGAAGATGATGACAACTCATCATCTGGTGAAACATCAGTCTCCTCTACTGCTCTTGCTCTTGAGGCTATCCTTCAGAGGTTGCCAACATGTGTTAATAAGGATTTTATCGATGAGGTACTGTTTATCTTGATGAACAGTCATCAAGCCACTTAGAAATAAATTTTTATAATCAACAGTTATAGCAAAGTGCCAAATAATAATCTTCAAAAATTAAAATGTTTACAGATTTTTTGAGTCCTTTTTTTCTTTGGTAAATACAATTATTTATATTTCAATTATTATTTATTCACTTAAATTCTTAATGTCAATTTGTTATATTGTTGTTAGGCTACCAAATTAAAAATAAACATACAAGACGTTATCTTTTTGTCTGTAGGTAGCAACAGAATTCATGCAAACATGCAACACAAAGGGAAACAGAAAAAAACTTTGTCGAGCCATTGTTGCTGTTCCAAGAACAAGGTAGGTAAAGCATGTGTGTTCAGTGATCTCCGTCACTGGCCGATATTCTGGCATGTATGCAGTAAAAAATCCTTGTCAAGAGCAAGTATTTTAAGGTTTGATTTCATTGCAGACTTGATTTGTTACCAATGTATGCTCGCCTTGTGGCAACTCTTGATCCTTGTGCTCCTGATCTTGCTCCTGAGCTAGTGCAGCAACTCAAAGGCGAATTCAGATTTAGGGTAAGTATACAAAGGCTCAGTAGTCCATAGCCTAAGTATATTAAAATAGGCAATATTATTGGTACTGGAGTTTCTGTTTCAGTGGGTATTATTTTTGTCTGTTGGCTGACTCATCACTGTGAATGCAACTGGTTTTTCATTGGAGTATCCTCCAGCTCTACATGTAAGAGAGATTGTGGATAAAAAAGATGGTTGTCAAAGGTTTGAACAATTTATGATGAGATTAAGAATTTGTATCAGTTCATTAGGTCAAGGAACACAGTGTTCACGGTCTCTGTATCCCTGTGTATTACATTATTTTCATCTTGGTATGTGTACCATAATACCCCTGTTTTCCTTTAGATATGTGTACCCTACATTTAAGGGAAAGAGTCCTGTTCCAGCAGGTTGCTGTATTTCTGTATTCCTACATGATGTATAGATATGTGTACCCTATAATCAATAGAAATAACAATGCAGCCCCCAGCATTCTGTAGTACTGTATTACTACTGAGTGTACAATGTGGATGTGTCTACCCTGTTTGGGAGTATTTAATGAGTGGATGCTTTCTCCTAAGTGATGACTCCCTGTATTTAGGTTCGTAAGAAGGATCAAATTAATTTGGAATCCAAGATAAAGGCAGTGCGGTTTATAGGTGAGATGTAATTTTACAATAGCAAAAGAAACCCTTCACCTTGCTTGACTGAGACATTACATTACATTACATTCTACCACATTTCTTTTTTGTCAGATTATGCTTACTCTCTAAACTGTGTCAATCATTTATTATTTTGGTAGGTGAGCTGACCAAGTTCCACATGTTCCCAAAGGGTGAAGCATTACACTGTTTAAAGGTACGTCATAACTCGACTGTCAGATAGGTCTGGCATCAAAATAAGTTGCTTGAACTGATCGCAGTAAGGACTATGGTTGGTTATGAATATATATGAAGTGACAAACGGTCAGCCAGCCAGTAATGTACATGAAAATGTTTCTCCCCCCCCATCACTCAGGGCTATTACATTTACTTGTAAACAGGCAACTAATCTACAACCATCAAAATGTTATAAAACTGGGATGTAAAAGAGTACTAAGGGCTTGAAACTTCACGCCACAAGAAAATCAACCGTGTCGATTAAGCCCAGCAAGCTATGCCAAAAATTAGTTTATGCTCAAAACCTTATAACATAGTAACTGATATTGTTCTCATTCTTTAACTCCTTAGATCTGCTATAGCTAATACTCAGTAGTTAACAACGTTGTATTTTGTTGATTGTATTACAAATCTTAGATGCTGTTGGAAGATTTCACCCACCACAACATTGAGATGGCATGTAATTTACTAGAAGTGTGTGGTCGATTTCTGTACCGATCACCAGATTCACACATCAGGACAAAAAACTTGTTGGTATGTATTTGATTGTCCTATAGTGTGTGTAAACATGACTAGGGTTGTTACCAATAGTGACTTACTTTTACCCAACCTCTGCAATAAGTTTCTTTTGCTTTTTATTGCAGGAACTAATGATGAGAAAGAAAGCTGTGCAGAATTTGGACAGTCGTCAAATGACACTAATTGAGAATGCATTCTTCTACTGTAACCCACCTGAAAGACAGAAGGTAGATTTGTGTGCATGTGCTCAAGCAACATAAACAGTGTTCTCTGTGTGATTTTGCCAAACTAAAAATGTAGAAGAAAAAAATCATTGCAAGAATCAAATTGCTTTTACTCTTAACTGTAGTTGCGATTCAATATAATTTTGCTGGCATTGTTGCTGTTGCTGTTGCTTCTTACAGGTTGTTCAGAAGGTGCGGCCTCCTTTGCACGAGTATGTCCGTAAACTACTGTATAGAGACTTAGCCAAGACAACTACTGAGAAGGTATCATTGAACTTAAAGTCCATCTACTGCTTGCAACAAGCAGCTTTTTATTCATAGACTACTAAAGTTCATCATAGTGCCAAATTTTCCCAGTTCTCAAAAGTAACAGTCAATTATCATCTATGAACCTTCATTATCTCTCTCTGGAGCAGTTTCCAAAATACTGAGTAGATCATGTGTATGGGTTTTGTTAGAAAACCAGTCTGTAATTTCCCACATGTACTGCTGTGTAAAGTGAATAAGGGTTTAATTCAAAAAACGTATGTGTTGGTTACAATAATAACTGTAGTAACCTGTAAGTAATCAGAAGTAATCAGGCTTTTGAAAGTGTATATGAACCTTGGCGTGTAACACTGTTTTGACTGTTTTTGTTGACCTGCAGGTTCTGCGGCAGATCAGGAAGCTTCCTTGGGATGATCCACAGGTATAGGTTGTCAGAAATCTAAATATCAGTGGTATTGACATAAATAAAGAGGTAATTGTAGATTGGTTCACTAAGTCGCGGGAGTGCTAGTGCTTGACACAAATACATACAGAGTGAAATACAAATATTGAATTGCACGCACCAAATGATCACCAGACTGTACCATTGGGAGCTAGATTTAAAATTTAAGGATTAGCTTGATTGTTTCTGATTGGCTGTGTATTTTATAGTAATGTCATGAATTTTCAGGAAAATATGGACATCAAGGGAAAAGTACAAATAGAGTTGAAACCAACAAGCTAATTAACACTTTAAATACCTATCTGATAAAGCAAGTTCCTGGGCTCATTTTTTCTTGAGCCGAACAAAATCAAACCTTGGGAGACTCCTTAATTTTACCAAGAGGGGTGTGAGCAATTTTCCGACAATGATAACTTTATTGCAGATTGCCCTGTATGTGATCAAGTGTTTAGTTCGTGTATGGAACATCAAGTACAACAGTATCCACTGTGCTGCTAATCTATTGGCGGGACTGGTACAGTATCATGTGAGTAACAAATCTTTTCTCTGAGTTTGATCTTATTTTTGAAGTAGTACTATGACTTACCAGTAATTACACTTTGTTGAACTTTTGTTACAGGAAGATGTTGGTCTATATGTTGTAGACGGCATTTTGGAAGAAATCCGCCTTGGAATGGAGGTATGAAATTGCTATATTGATCTATATAATTGTGAAAAGGAAGGCATGTTGAGGTTGAGGGGAATCACGCAGTGTGTTAATCCCTTTTTCAGACCAAAGTACGTCAGAAATTGTACATAAATTTGTCAATACAGATTAAAGGAGGTCAAAAACTGTTCTTAGCTATTAGCCATTAAACAAGGCGGGTCAACCAAAGGCATTTGGCAGCCAATCACAAGGGTCGGTGAGAGTCAGTCACCTTTATTCAGCTGCAGGGTTATTGATTTAAGCCTGCAGTCAAACTTCATTCTAACCAGCAGACAATTTTTAATTCCTTTTACACGTTTAACTGGGCCTGGCTTTTCTCTTATGAACCAAAAGAAGATAACAAGAGTTCTATATCATTTTATAGCAACCCAACTGTGATTTTTTTTAGATGACTGATGTATCTTTGGAGGCAATATTATTTGGCTTAAATTCTGAGGCACGTTTATGAAATTTTGGTCTACTTTAAAATATTAACCACTAAAGCTAGGAGAGTAGCTAATCGTTATGTTTAGGGTTCACTTCGAAAAGTATCATTATTTACTTTAATTCTTTCTTTTGTTGTGTAGACAAACCTTCAGAAGATGAATCAGCGGCGTTTAAGTTGCATCAAGTTCTTAGGTGAGCTGTACAATTACAGACAAGTGGAGTCACGTGTCATCTTCAGCATTCTGTACTCCTTCATTACCTTTGGCAACAATAACGAAGGTTAGTATTCAGTAGACCTGCTCGCTGTATGAAAGGTCATTATCGGCATATTGTACTGATTTCTTCTTTCTTTCTGTCATATTCTGACTTACTGACTCACTAATACCACTTACGCCCTTCATGACCTTAATTGTTTGTTGTGTTACCGTTTATGGCTTTTTAGTGGTCGTTTGCACCCCCATTTATACCTCTTGCCTAACTATCAATGTTTTAATCCCCCTTTATGTGATTCAGGACAAGGCTCGTTTACATGAACTTTGATTAATTCCGGTTACCAAAAGCAATATACTCAGAGAGCAGACTTGTGCTCTTTTGATAGGAATTCCATCCGTTCTGGACCCTCCAGGACACTTGTTTCGTATTCGTATGATATGTACATTACTGGACACTTGCGGACAGTACTTTGATCATGGTAACTACAAGAAGAAACTTGACTGCTTTCTAATTTACTTTCAGGTGAGTTTTCAGTTAAGTAGTCCAAATCTACATTTGTGCTTTCTTAAAAATGGGTTTTTGCAACTTTGCTTACTTGTCACTTGTACATTCTCATGACTACAATAGTTTAAAAGGGACACCCTCTACGGCCCTTAATATTATATGTAGAATTGACAAGGAGTCTTCACAATTTTTTTCCTTTTCCGAAATTACAACCCTGTGGATGTCTTAGCTTTGTGATGATATATTCTTCTTGAACTGTGTGCTTGTCTAGTTCTCTTCATAATTTTGTCAATCTTTTATAACGTTGTTGTATGTTCAGTTTATGGTTAATCCTGGGAGTAAATCTTTGGATACTCTAATAAATGCCATAAAACACCTTTTCTCGCTCAATACCAGTGATGTTGAGTTCACTCGGCCATCAAAAGAACATATCCTAAAGACAAAACAGAGCCTAGTCTCCTTATGAGTGTATAAAATAGAATTCTTTATGTAAAGAAGAACAGTTTTATTATTTTGTTTTACCCTGAAGTGCTACGTGTTGAAGAAGAAAGCTGATCCCATCTGGCATGAAGGGCACCCATATCCCCGTGATGTTGATTACATGGTGACAGACACGCTAGAGTCCCTTCGTCCTAAACTCACCGTGTTTACAAACCTGGAGGAAGCTATGGAGAGTCTCAACAAGTTGAACAAGGAACATAAAGAGCAGATAGGTTGGATTTTGCTTCCCTGCTCTCTGGAAAAAAAAAATTTTTTTTGCATACACGGTTGGAACCTCTATTAAATGTCCCCTAAGTTGAGGTTGGGCTGGGATTTGTTTATAATTAACTAACAAATAAAAAGTCTTTCTTTTATTTTTGCCTCAGAATCTACTGCAGTCATTGTTTCAAGCAGCTAGATAATGTATAAAAAATCATTATTAACTTATCTCTGCAATATTGTGTGTAGAATCCCCACATACAAGTTATAGAGAGGTAGTTCGCGTTTTGCGAAAACTGGTGTCCCCTGTGTGGAGGTCTTAAACCCGGGTCTCGAGAACCAGAAAAAGTGTCCCTTTCCTCTGCATAGAGGTGTCACTTCAAGAGAGGTAAATTATAGATACAAAGACTATGTGGACATTTTTCCGGGACCAAATTTTGTTTCCCTAGCTGAATTGTTCCTTGATTAGAGGTGTCCTAAAGGCAGGAGAGGTTCCACTTTAATATTAAGGTAGCTATAATGGAAAGATACAATTTAAGCATCGTCGTCAGATCTAATTTTCTGTTGCATCTTTAAAGGCAAAGAATTTCCCACGAAAATGGAGCTTCGTTCTCTGCCAATTAACTACACAAAACAGGCTAAAGGTTATTATAGGCAGCACCACTTTTATTGTGATGTATTCAATTTCAGATAAAGCAGCTCCTCAAGATCAGGACACAAACAATTCAGCCAGCGGCACACAGACTTTCCCCATGACCAATACTTCCCACAATCATGTTGTCTCCAGCTCTCCAGCTGCATCACTCGCACCCTCTCCATGCCAGTCTCCTATGCTGCGCGAGGAGGATGAACTGAGTGATACTGGGGAGAGCGGTGGCGAGGATGATGACGAGGGTCCAGTCCCTGACGGTGTGGAATCTGATGCTGAGGCGGTTACTGAAGTTGATATGAGTGACGTGGATATGAACAAGGTCTCTTGTTCTGTTTCTCAATTTGCACTCGAGTATGACCACTTAATGTAAATATAAAAGTTCCAAAGTGGAAGACGTCGGCAAGCTTGAGTTGCCGTCGACTCAAGCATATTAGCTACCAGGCTCAGATCTAATTGATTAATTTTTAACTACTTTGCCTGTATAATTTTAAATTCCCCTGTGATAAAAGGTAAACTAAAAAAATCTTTACCTTTACTATTTTTCTTTACTATACTATCGTGTATCCTGTATAATGTAGCCGGGTATTGCCATGTTACCTGTCTTATAGGTCAAAGTTCTCAGCCCTCCTAAGGCGGAACCAACCGTGGAGGACAAGGCATTCCTTGCGGCCTTTGATAAACTGATTTTGGATGACACTCAGAATCGTCGTGAAGAAAACCCTAAGGTATAGTGTAACATCTTCAGCTCATCACTGCTGCCAAAATTCTTATATGTTTGGATGGTCGTATTTAAGATTCTTGATTACATACTGAAAAACTGGAATCACTCCCAGGCTGAATTGCACCAGTGCTGATGAAAGCGTGGCACTTTACAACATGCCATTTTAAAAAGTAGTACTGTTTTTTGTGTCTTGGCTTGAGGATGAGATGATGAATTTTAAGTAAACGCTAAGGTCATCAACTAGTTTTAACTTTTTGAGTTATTTGTCCGTCTGTCTTATCGGTGTATACTCAGTTTTGTGTAGTTACCCTTCAGATAATTTAGGGCATATCAAAGCCTATAGAGCCTGACTATTTTTCAGGTTCCCAGCCTGGATGTGGCAGTTCCAATGCATCTCAAAGGTCAAAGAGCGCGTCACAACAGTTTAACTGAAGAAAATGAAAGTCTTAACTTTGTTGTTATGTTGAAGAAAGGCAATAAACAGCATTTTAAAGGTAATCAAGTTCTATCTATCTCATTATGAAATCACCTATTGAGGGACTAGTGTCCAGTCCAGAAAATCTGTAACATTTTGAGTAGAAGACACATTACATTTTGACTACTTTACATTTCCTGCCTACCTCAGTAACTAGAGTTTTCCTGTCTATATAAATGATCCGTTGCAAGACAAGCAAATGGCGCTTATCGGAGCGTACTGTTTGCTCGATTCTGCGACTCCAATAATTCACGGACTCTACCCACTCCCCATCTGCCTAGGTATCTTGAACTATTCACTCCATAATTCACTCCAGTCATCCTCTTTTCTGGAGGGGCAGACTAGCGTCCAGTTGTTGCTCTACCATTTACAAATGAATTGGATATTTAAAAGAAAAAGGATGATCAGATTTGAGCTCATGGCTGTTTTATTGGTTAGACCTGCAGATTCCTCTAAGCTCAGGACTGGCGGCCAACATCCGGAACAGACAAATAGCTGAGCAACAGGAACAAGAGGAAGTTAAGAGATTGGTTCTGAATTACAACCAGAGACAGGAAGAGGAAATTTACAACGGTATCAGTAGCAGACTTGTTCACTATTCTTAGGCTTTTTAGAAAACAAGTTTTATCTTGACGTGGGTCAGGATGATGCACTGAAAAACTTTACTCATTTGTCAGTAAACTCATTTTGTTGTATTTAATGTAGAAATGCTGGCCCAACAACGGCAGAGTGTTTCCGAGCCCCAGACTTCAAGGCCTCACCACCGCCCGGCCAACAAGCGACGCATACAAGAGGGAAGTGACACCAACCTTGTGTTTGCTAATTTAACGAGGTAAAAAAAATAACTACTTATTTTTTATTCAGGGCAAGTTTGTACGCAACGTATTTGTTACGTAACTGCTCGAAAAAGGCTGAAACTGTAAAGGGAAATCAAACTGTTTCGTAGTTATGTTATAGATACATGGTTAGCCTGCGTAGCAAGCGTTTCCGTGCGGTTTAGGAGCAAAGAACAAGGAACGAGAGTCAAAGACCGCGCGAAAAATGGCACAAGTAAAAGAGCGGAGAGGGGTTGGGGAAGAAACCCTAACCCTAACCTTTCCTTCCTTCCCCTCCCCCTCCCCCCTCTTTCATTTTTTGGCTCTCATTTCATTTCTAGCGCGGCCAAAACCGGTCTTTCTTTGCTCCGAAGCCAAATGGAAACGCTTGCTACCCAGGCTAATACATGGTGCATTAGGCAGATCGCGACGACAGTGACGACGGCGCACGGAGATCAAAAAGCCGACTTGACCAATGGCAGAGCAGCAAAATTGAACATGACTACCGGAAGTCGGGTTCAGTCCTTGCCGCGCACTTGTCGGTGTGTTGCCCGTGAAAAATCTGCCTATTTGCAGCGGGAACCTCCCACCCCACCCCCATCACTGATTCTGTCTTCTGAGTACACGCCTCTACTATTGATCCGTGCATATACCAATTTCAGACCACATACCACATTTGTATTGAAACAAAGTATTTGCCGACTTTTATTTTTTGTTTCTGTAGAAGGCGCTAGTTTCCATGGTGATAATATGGTGCAGTGTGTGACTACTGCTGTAGTAATGCGTCGCGGGCACAGTATTCTGTTTCAAGAGAGAGGTGACACATTCATCACCGGCGGCCTCGCTTCTCGCCTCATGGACACAAGTGTGTAGGAAGGTTATGAAACGTAGGGAGCCACAAGAGAGAGAAAGTATCAACCGGTGCAAAAACGTTTCTATCGATTATATCACTGTTACAGCTCTTAAAACCTGCAAAGGTCCCTGTTAAACGCACTTTTCAATAATGCAGTAAGAGTGTCAAGTAAGTTTTGAGTGAGAATTTTAACGATCGAACTCAGCTCGAACTTTTTTTTGTGCTTGACAGGCGTTGATTTATGATTTTAAGGTAACCTTTAGCTTTTAAGAAATGTAAGGTTTCAATTTTGTGGCTTAGAGTTAATAAAGGGATACGTTTCCTCGCCAGTGTGAAGACTAGAGGTCTTAAGTAGACGTATACGGTGTCGAGCTTTCGTTTTATTTTAGAATCATCTAAGTTGATTTAATACTTGTTCAAGATAGTTCACAAACTGAAAATTTAGCCTTGAATAAAACTGGTTTGTGGTGAAGTATTTGTCTGTTGTTGACAATTGAATCCGTTCCGGTTTAACTAACGCCCTAATAAAACTGGACACGATCGTTGGTCCATGCTGTTCCTCAGTCACCTTTGTTGCCTAATCTCTGGAAGGTGGACACCTTTGGACTGAAATGAGAGTCAGCAACCTGTACTCCTACCATCATCAAGTACCCTGCTACCCAACAACCCCTCCTCTTTTGACATGGAGAAATGTCGGAGTATTTTCCTAGTCAGTGACACAGGCTGCCCACAGCTTAGTGGCCTTAGCTCCTACGAATTTCTTGTAGCTTTGTGGTAGAGTATCTGGACTTCTAACCTGCAAAAGGTCATAGGTTCTTCGACTCTTAATAGACGGAGTATTCGGATTATTTCTTCCAAGCTGCCTGTTTCACTGACTGGTTGTCACATTCACTCTCAAAGTTTATTCCTTTACCAATACTGTCTAATTACTTTATACACTTTAGTGAAAAGCCACCGCTTGTTTGGAAACGGAGGACTCATTTATCAGTCTCATCTGTCAGTCTCATTTGTCTAAAATTCAGTTTGGACACGAAAAATTTAAACCAGTGGACGTCAAAAACTTGTGATTAAGAAAAGAAATCGTTTTGGCATTATTATTTGTGCCTAGCCCTTTCTTACTTTCCTAGAAAATGAGGAAGCGGAAAATGGGGGCATTCCCACGGCTTGTTTCCAGATATTTGTAATCAATTAGGCTCAACTCCTTGGCACAATAAATGTTGCAGGAATTAGAAATGATTAAAGAATGTTTTAAATTTTGTAGTTTAATTACCCTTCATTATTATTACTATTTTTAATTTTTTAATTTCGTTCTCCTATGGGAAAACTTTTCCTGGGTAACCAGAAGGGTGACTCGCCAACCCGAGCTACCCTGGACGAGCCAACGTTTCCTAAATTTCCTTATTAAACTTTGGAAATCGTTTACACGAGAAACAAAATGTTGCCTTGGCTAGAAACGGGTCACCGTTTTTTAGATAGTTGGGTCACCCTCCAAGCCAGGCCAACTTTTGTCCCTATATATGTAAACATGTTATCTCGCCTAGACAGGCCAACTCAATCAAGGCGAGACAATTTTTGTTTTGTTAAAGTGCTTTTATCAAATCAGAGTTACCTTATGAATATCAGTTTTAAAAAGGAAAAATCCTTGAACGTCGTTGTGACGTCGACAACGAGAAAGTCAAAAATCGATAGTGTTTAATTGGCAAAGCAATTAACATCTCTGCACGTGCATCACCAAACATCACCTATCCCATCCTTTCTTCCACAAAACAAAACAAATTCAGGCACTGAAGATATATATATTGCAAAAATTTGAAGATTTCCTGACAGTACAGAACAATTATTTTTCACAATACTGAACGGGCAAAATGCATTTAAGTATTAGCTAGTATTGGGTAAACAGATGTATTAATAGTGGTGTACTATAATAATAACATTTGTTATTCATGGATCTTACATTATCAATGTGAATTTGACATTTACCTCCGCTTTATTGATATGATTTAACCAATAGAAAAGTTAATTAACAATGAACTACCAATAGACCTTTTTACCGATACGGCGGCCATATTGAATTAATTCGATTTAAGGAGTATTATAGGATGCTAAGGGGGCATGAGCACATTTCGTTTGTATTTTCGAGCGCTTCTCAGGACATTTTTCTTAAAGTTTTCTTAGAATAAGATTGTAATGGGAAAAAAGATCCTTGTGCTGTGTTTTGATGTATATAATGATCGCCCTTCTCCCGAGAAATATAAAGTGAAAGACCATATTTCTAATACTAAACTACAAAAAGGCGATCATTATTACATCCAAACACGGCACAAGGATCTTTATTATCATTACAATCTTATTCTAAGAAAACTTTAAGAAAAAATGTCCCGAAAAGCGCTCGAAAATACAAACGAAATGCGCTCATACCCCCTGAGCTGACCTTAGGCAAATTCGGCAAGAAAAATGTCTTTTACGATATTCTAGAACAAAAAAACGCCTTTCTAGGCTATAAAAACAACAAGTTTAAAAAGTCGAGAAAATAACATTTTTCCAAAGAGGTTAACCCATGGTTTTGGTCCCAAAATGGCCATTTTTCCGACATTTTTTTTTAGGCAATTTAGGCGAGGAGAATTTCTTTTACGATATACTAGAAAAAAAAAACCCTTTCTAGGCTATAAAAAAAGGAAGTTCAAAAAGTCAAATAATTGACATTTTTCCTAAGGAGTTAACCCATTGTTTTGGTCCAGAAATGGCCGTTTTTCCGACTTTTTTTTTTAGGCAAATTCGGCCAGGAAAAAGTCTTTTACGATATTCTAGAACAAAAAAATGCCTTTCTAGGCTATAAAAACAAGAAGTTCAAAAAGTCGAAAAATTCACATTTTTCCAAAGTGGTTAACCCATGGTTTTGGTACAAAAATGGCCGTTTTTCCGAGGGTTTTTTTAGGCAAATTAGGCCAGGAAAATGTCCTTTACGATATTCTAGAACAAAAAAACGCCTTTCTAGGCTATAAAAACAAGAACTTAAAAACGTCGAAAAACTGACATTTTTCAAAGGGGTTAACCCATGGTTTTGGTCAAAAAATGGCCATTTTTCCGATTTTCTTTTTTAGGCAAATTAGGCCAGAAAAATGTCTTTTACGATATTTTAGAAGAAAAAAAAAATCCTTTCTACTCTAAAAAAACAAGAAGTTCAAAAAGTCAAAAAATTGACATTTTTCCAAAGGCGTTAACCCATGGTTTTGGTCCAAAAATGGCCATTTTCCGAATTTTTTTTTTAGGCAATTTAGGCCAGGAAAATGTTTTTTACGATATTCTAGAACGAAAAAATGCCTTTCTACGCTATAAAAACAACAAGTTCAAAAAGTCGAAAAACAGACATTTTTTCCAAAGGGGTTAACCTATGGATTCGGTCAAAAAAAAAGGCCATTTTTCCGACCTTTTTTTTTTAGCGAAATTAGGCCAGGAAAATGATTTTTACGATATTTTAGAAAGAAAAAACGCCTTTCCAGGCTATAAAAACAAGAAGTTCAAAAAGTCAAATAATTGACATTTTTCCTAAGGAGTTAACCCATTGTTTTGGTCCAAAAATGGCTATTTTTCCGACTTTCTTTTTAGGCAAATTCGGCAAGGAAAAAGTCTATTACGATATTCCAGAACAAAAAAATGCCTCTCAAATTTATAAAAACACGAAATTAAAAACGTCGAAAAATTGACACTTTTCCAAAGGAGTTAACCCATTGTTTTGGTCAAAAATGGCGGTTTTTTAGACTTTTTGCTTTAAGCAAATTCGGCCAGAAAAATGTCTTTTACGATATTCTAGAGCAAAAAAAATGCCTTTCAAGGCTATAAAAACAACAAGTTCAAAAAGTCGAAAATTAACATTTTTCCAAACTGGTTAACCCATGGTTTTGGTCCAAAAAAGGCCATTTTTCCGGCCTTTGTTTTTAGTGAAATTAGGCCAGGAAAAGGATTTTTAAGATATTTTAGAAGGAAAAAAACGCCTTTCTACGCAGTAAAAACAACAAGTTCAAAAAGTCCCAAAATTGACATTTTTCTAAAGGGGTTAACCCATGGTTTTGGTCCAAAAATGACCGTTTTTCGGCCTTTTTTTTAGGCAATTAAGGCCAGGGGAATGTCTTTTACGATATTCTAGAACAAAAAAAGGCCTTTCTACTCT